CTTCCATTTTGCCCCCATTTCCCCCCACCATTTGAACAACCCAGCCCAGTTCTTTCTCTCCCTGGCTCAATTTTTGCTGATTTTGTACCCTTGTTCAGTGATTGTAGCCTAAGTCAGGCAGCACTGCTGATACTCTCACCGCTTTGTCTGGCTATTTCTTGCTTTTTGCTCAGACTTTGGACAGGGCTGGCATCTCTTTGGCCTAGCAGTCACCTCTTCATTTAACCTCAGCCCAGAGCCAGACACTTATTTCATATTTTGCACTACTGTCATTAATGCTGGTATTTTCCTACATTCCAGCCAGTGCCACCTGATGCAACAACAAAACTGACTTTCAACACAGGCTGGAGTCTCTTCATTTGCTTTCACATAACCCATTATCCCACATGCCATTAGGAAACAAGCCACCATGACACTCCTGCAAGCCTATAGATACTCTGCTCTTCCTTATAGTAGGTGGGGTAGGATTAGAGAAGGAGTTTGGGAGAGGCACACAGGCAAAACCACTTTCACAAAACAAAATTCTTTGTCTTTTCAAAATATTATGTGGATTATGTATTATGCAGATCACCAATGCAGGACAAAGCAGGGCTTAGGATGTATTGAACAAGCAAGATTGTATCACATATCCGGCAAATTGATGGGATTATAGGATTGATGAGGACTGGTCAAACCATTATGAGGTGATCCAACTGTGCTGATAAAACATTTCCTGAGTTTGTTTCTCTTAAAGAAAATAACTAGGTTTGGATGGAAGACCTGAGTGAAAATAATTTCAGGGTGAAGTTTCTGAAAAAATGATACTACATCACACATTCTTCTTTTTTGGCCTCCCAAGAACTTCCCAGCTTCCTGATAGTCCTAGCTCAGGCTAGGGACAGTCTCCAGAGCTGTGTACTAACAGAGTACTGACAGCTTTTTCCTACAGTACTTCTGCTCCTCACACCATCTATTGGCTGCCAGATTGACCAGCTTCCCACAAACCATAACATTCCAGGGAATATATTACACATCTGTGAAGTTCCCCTCATTCTCTCCCACCAAGGCAGTCAGCCCTTCATGTTGATGTCAGATTCCTATAAGGCAGAAGGGCAGCCCAGGGTTCTCATGCACCTTGCACTTGTCTAGAGCTAAAGCTAGGGGAGATGAATGCTTTCAGAGATGACAAAAGACATTTGATCCAAGGTGGCATTCCCAGCACATGCTAGAGGAGCAGTTATCTAGTCATCACTTAGAGATCCTTTTATGGGAATGACTGGCAAAGTCCTGCTCTCTCCATAGCATTCCCATGCATGTTCTGTACCAGATGTGGTGATGTATCTGTTCATCTCTTCATTGGTACCACAACTCAATCTACTTGCATACTGCTACCATGAGACACCCAAGAGATTTCCATAAGCTTTTCATTGTAAAAGTATGTTTCTGGTTGCTTTCAAGTTGCCAGACTGAAATTACCTGAACTACCCATGTCAGGAACACATCCATCAGGCTGGGTTGAACAGACACTCTGAGCTGGATGTTTAGGCACTCATCTTTGAACATCTTGCTCTTCATGTCTTGTAAGGACTGATACACAGAATGTTCATAAAACTACTGTTCCAGAGAAGAACTGCAGGATTTAGGCTTCCCAACATAGGAGAAAAAGACACTTCTATGAAGAGAGGTCCAACTTCATGATACTTGCACTTAGTCAGCAAATTGCTCTGCTACTTGATCTGAATGATGGAGAAGCTGGGCAGACATGCCTATGAACACAAGAAACAGGGCTGCCCCATGTCATACAGGGAATAACTCCTTACTAGGAGAAGCCAGGAGGAAAACGCTTCCTTCTAAATGTTTGACTTCAGGGTTCTGTTCTTGGATTATATTGAATCGACATGAAGATATAACTCATGCCAAAAGAAAAGGAATGCTTCTGATGCTTTTTGACATAGCTCTTCTCTGTGAGTGAGACTGGCATGCTCTGTCTAAAGGAGAACACCCCACATTGGAGGCAGCAGTATTCTGTACTCATGGCAGAAGCTCCCATTCTGTACTGGGAGACAATGAGAACTCATCATACAGCAGAGGCAGCATATGGCATGACATGAAAATGAACCAAAAAGCTGTGAAGAAACATGACTTCAAGCCCATAAAAGGAAGCTGTTTTGAAATTCTTTTTACAAACTCAGGACAATGGAAAAGAGATCCATACCAATCTGGTTACTGGGGCTTGTAACTGCACCCAATCTTCTTAGAAGTATCAAGGTGAATGCTCAGTAGAACAGCACTGACCTAGAACTTCAGCAGTTTCCTTCATGAGGTAGACAGAGGACCATGCATCCAAAGGCAATACCATTTTTTCCTTCCAGAAAAACAAAGCATAAATGCAGGACCAGTAAACACCTGGAGATTACTAGTAATGTCTCAGATTTATTTTTCACTGCCTGCTTATTTCACTCTGATACTGAAAACCTCATTTCTACAATGCAAAGGTTTACATTTCTTCATGTACATAAACACAGAATAAAACTACAAACAATTAACCTGTGAGACCTTACAGGCATTTGAAAAAGACACTTTGCTGCACTCATGGCATTTGTTGGTTCAGAATCTAGTACTTACCACTTTGATGACTCTTGCATTAAGTACGGGCTTAGCAGGCTAGCTCCTTAAAAAATAGGGAGAAAAGAACAATTGTTGACTCAAGGCCCACACAGGTGTAGAATCAGTTACCTTCAACTTGCAGAACAATGGCCACATTAAAAAATTCTTCAATGACCTCAGGCTATGGCCTGGACTCCAATGGAAAGCGGCTGAACAAAATGCTATGCCAGAGTAAGCACATGCAAAGTAACTCAGCAAACAGCACATGGGACAGCATGGGAAGTCACACCACAGCCTAGAAACAGAGATTTTGAACAGTGTGGAACCAAAAGACTAGTTTTACAAGGGGACTTGGGGATTATTTCAGAGTAAGAAACTCAGCCTTAGGGTTAAAGAAGAGCAGTACAGTTTGCCCCAACCTCCACTGGACAAACCACCAACTCACAGGTAATTTTTGAGGAAAGTTATGTGCACCAGAGCAAACTGCTGCCTTCTACTGCACTGGAGACTTCAAAAATGAGGGGGTACTGCCTCTGATACCTGAGTAGCCAGACTTGTTTCACTCATTGTAAGATGCAGAGATCCTGGGACTGAACAGAAACTCAGGGAAATAGTGCTGGTAAGAGAAAAAGAAAACAAAAAGGGAGGTTGTCTGTCACAACCAGTATAACTGAAATATCTAGAACTATTTAAACAAAGTTTAGGAAGAGAGTTTCCAAGAAAAAACAGCTGCCCCAAAGGAGGATAAAGGTGAAATTCCAGTGGGAAGACTTTAATCTCTAAAGTACTGAGAAATTCAGCAGTTTGTAGCAGTGGGACACAGGCCAAACAAACCTATTCTGTCTCCATGCATGGACAGAGAGGTTCCTATCAAAGCATGGCTCTGCCGTGGCCAAGGCAGAGCTGTGATGTAATCTAAATGCTGCTTTGCAAAAGGTGAATTCATTTCATTACATCTTGGGCCAATGTCTGGCAGCTCAGATAGTCAGCCAATGAAGGTATAAAATTTTCACGACTTGGGCAAGAGAGACCAAAGAATGGAAGTCAATAACATGTCTGAAACCTGCTGCAGAACAGCTAGGGAAAGTGTAAGAATTCAATTCTCACTTCACTTTTGTCAAATTGATCACCACCAAATGGTGAGATGGTAATGAACAGTTTCCTGCCTGGGCTGGCCAAATGAAATAGAACTGCATCATACAAGGGCCAGATGAAAAGGACTGGCATACAACCAGTCCATCTGCAAAACAGGTCAGATCCCATAGGAGCAACAGGAAGGTGTTCAGCTGCTCTGTCCACAGCGCTGCAGTACTCAGATAATGTTGTCAACCTCTCCAACACCAGAAAAAAAACACTGGTTCCTCCCTGAAGGTAAGATGACAAGACAAAGTTCCTGGTAGACACAGAGATACTATGATTACCTAAGAGGACAAGGTTGACATGATGCATAAGCTCAGGCTCACGTTCCTCAGGAACACGTATTTGGGTAATTACCTTGCCCTTACACTGACAGGATTTATATTGCTTTTGAACATCTGCTGCTGACATTGACAACAATGTGACAAAAGCAGGACATTGAACTGTGTGAAAGAATTAAGAAAATTACTGTTGAGAACTGTGTTTTGGTGTATTAGGTTTATGACAATCAATGAGTCTATTACAGATTGTAGCATCATCTGCTGTGCTCAGCTTTCAGACATAAGGCCAAAAAGAGCCACTGCACACATATGCAAAGTGATTTTTTGATACCCTCACAATAACACACAGAGAAATCCCTGTCAGGAGGAATGATACAACTTGCTGGCCTGAATAGGCCAAACAGGGTAAACAGAGCTAAATGCTGTTCTGGGAAATGAAGTTCTCAGGCCAAAGTTGCAGACTTGTTAGCTCAGGCTCATACACAACTGGGGATGTGGGTCAAACAACTCAAATATGAAACTCAGTTTTTAGCCATTTACCAATCACAAGTAACAGATTTAAATTTAACTTTTCACCATATGTCTTGCATACCATAGAATCACAGAATCATGAAATGGTTTGGGTTGGAAAGGATCTTAAAACTTACCTTGTTATACCTCCTGCCAGGTGTATATACCCACCTACAGGTGTCCCTGTAGAAGGGACACATTCTACTAGGCCAGGTTGCTTCAAAAGTCCTGTCCAACCTGGCCTTGCACACTTTTGAGGGAAGAAGCACACAGTTTCTCTGGGCACCCTGTGCCAAGGCCTTGCCACTCTCCCATGGAAGCTTTTCTCAGTATTCCAACAACCCTGCCCTCTGGCAGTGGGAAGCCATTACCCCTTGTCCAAAATCCCTCTCCAGCTCCCTTGGAGCCCCCTGAGCTACTGAAAGGCTGTAGAAAGGTCACCCTGGATGCTTCTCTTCCCCAGGCTGAATAATCCCAACTCCTATAGCCTTTTTTTTCCCCCTCTAATGAATTAGAGGATATTAAAATTTTATTGATGGAAAATGATCAGACAAATGTCTTTTTCTTAACAAAACCATTACCTTTTCCCTTTAGTACCCTATAAATAAAGTATCAAATAATGTTTATCCTTTTAAAATCTGCAATCTTACATGTTTCATTCTTGCTGGACATTGTTCAAGAAGCAATATGTCACAATAATTTCTGCACAGACTGAATTCCTTCAGATTTTGGATATTAAGTTCAGATTCCTATTAACTAAGACATAGCCATGCTGTTTCAGTGTCCAATTCAGAAGAACGACTGGGTGTGTTTTTCCACCGGACAGGTTAGGTGGTCAGACAAGTATTCCTGGCCATCAGGGTTCCCATTTTCAGGCTGCATTTTGCGGGGGGATGGAGGGAAATGATCAGTTCAGGACAGGTAAGAGCCCCCGAGCTCAATCCCTTCACATTTCAAGATGAACCAAAAGCACAGAGTCGAAGCAAGAATATTTATGAATTTTTATACCCCTTACATTAATTTTTTTTTGCAAGTACGGGCACTTTCAGGAGTCACTCCTCGGTCACTCTGCAGAGTCTTCATCAGCGGAGCAGGACTGACATCCGCCGAAATCCGCGCGGAGCCTCCTCAAGAAACGAGCGGCGGGATCTTTCCATCCAAATGGGTCCTGGAGCCACTCCCGGCGTTCGGGACCGGCGGGCCTCACCCACTCCAACCTGGCAGCAGGCAGTCACCGCCAGCCGGTGCTCTCCGTGCACGCCGCCGGCACCGCGGCGACGGGGACCCCGGCTCCGGCCAGTTCGCCCAGGGTCAAAGGGGTCTCCCACTCCCAGGCCAACTCACCGCGGAGCCCGGCCTCACTATAGCCGCTACCCCGCCCTGAGAGGCCGCGGCGGCCGCTCCCGCAGCGCTCCGGCGCTCGGGCTGCCGCCGGGACGGAGCCCGGGGAAGAAAGAGGAGCCCGCGAAGGGCCCCGGCGCGGCCGCGCGCACCGCACTCACCAACCGCCGCCGCGCCCGCGCGCGCCCGTCACGCGGCGGCGCAGAGCCCACATTGGCCGCGCCGAGGCACTTGCGTCACGTGCCTCTTCTTGACCAATGGGGGGCAGCCGCGTGGCTCCGCCCTGCGGAGGCAGTTGCAGCGCCGGGGTGCGATCCTAGCGCGGGGAGACAAAGTAGGCCCGCACTGCACCGCACCGCACCGCACACCGCACACCGCACCCCGCACACCGCACCCCGCACACCGCACACCGCACCCCGCACCCCTCACCGCACACCGCACACCGCACACCGCACACCGCACACCGCACCCCTCACCGCACACCGCACACCGCACACCGCACACCGCACACCGCACCCCTCACCGCACACCGCACACCGCACACCGCACACCGCACCCCTCACCGCACACCGCACACCGCACACCGCACAGCACCGTACCGTACCACACGGGGGCGGCGGGGCGCGGCATTACAAAGCGCGGCGCAGCGCCGGCTGCTCACCCGGCGGGGGCCGTGCCCTGCAGGGGGCGGGGCGGGCTTGAGGCGTGCACGGCCGGCGGTGCATGCGGCGCGGGCGCAGGCCCGATGGCGGCCTCTGCCGCCATGTCCCTGGGCAATTACAGCAGCCTGAACCGGGCCCAGCTTACCTTCGAATACCTGCACACCAACTCGTGAGTACCGGCTGGGGTGAGGCGGGCCCGCGGCACCCGGTCTGCCCGGAGCCCCAGCTCAGTGCGATAGGCCTGGCCGAAGCCACGCGGGCCGGTGGGCCTGAGCGGGCCCCTGCCCCCGGCCGGACGCTTCGTGGTCCTTCCGGGAACCGGCTGTTGTACCTCGGGCAGGTCCGTGGGTCACGGAGAGCCGTTGTGTGGGGACAAACGGCCCCAGGAGGAACGGGGAGGCCCCATGGGCAACCAAGCCCGCACGGCCGGACTTCTGCGCAACAGTGGGTATGCGCTGTCATGCTGGCCGCCATCCCTCTGCAGCATCTGGCTTTGTGCGTGACTGAGTGTTTTGCAGGTTTATTTTTAACAGGATTATGATACTCTTTTTCCAGTCAGGTATTTGCATGTCGCCAGCGAATCCCCCAAAATAACACCTCTTGAGAAGAGGCAAAGCCATTATTTAAGATGAGTTTCTTGTGGGCGCATGTCTAGAAAATGAAAAGCACCATCAGGGAGCAGCGCTTAAGCGGGCTCAGGCGCCCATCAACACCTGTCTGCTGCTCCTAAGCCTTGTAATGGCATGTATAGAAGAGATGGAAGAGCTCATTCTGCCCGAACTGGAAGAACTCTGTGGAACCACTTAGCATTTGCTTCATTTTGATCAGCTGGTCATGGGCATAAGATTATCTGATGATGTTCTGTGGAAGAGTTGATTTACGGTTATCCACCAATAGAAGAATAAATAAAGTGCAGATTTATCTTTTTGTTTACCTTTTCAATATGTGAAGGATCACAGTGGTCTACCGCAGTCTAAAGAAGGCACAGAAGCACGGGCAACTTGATTTCAAAGGATTTTTGTCTGGTTTTGTTGGTAATGAGATACATCTGCAGGAGCAATGCAAGAGCAGTTAAGACTAATCTCACATATGTGAAGACCATTACAATCCATTAATTTTCAGAATCAGGAAAGTAATGGGCTTTGAGCAGGGAAATAAACCTAGTAATGGCTCCATGTCACATTTGGGTCCGCTCTTTAGTTTGGCTGGTAGCAGTTGTATATGGATCGAACAATCTGGTGCCTGAAGATGGACAATACTGAGTCATGTTATGGTGCTGTTGTTGATTTGTGAAATTCTCATGTCCAGCTCCAGAAGACAATATTTTTTTATGGATAAGAAGACCGTGCAGATGATGGCAGTGCTCTGTCAGCAGCTTGTGTTTGCCTGCAAAACTCCAGAATTCTGTCTGCCTTCATAAGAAGATAAAGCCTGTGCTAAAGACTGAGTTGTTGTTGCTACTGCTCTCATGTATATTAAAGCTACTTCATGTTGTCATTGTGCTTACGCTGCTGTCTGCTTGTGGTGTGCTGCATGTGTGCAGTAATACCTGCATTACTGAATTCTTGGAAAGAGTTGGAAGCCAGTGCTTGGATAAGCCAAAGCCGGGGCTCCTTGTCGGTCATGAGCAAAGAGCCTCTTGAGGTTATGGAAATAAGTGCATAAGTGAAATGCTTCCTGAAGAATGGCAATGGGAGTAATGGAAGTCATTATAAAAAGAAAGAAAGTACCAAACTAACCCATAACAAACAACCTCTCCTGCTCCTCCAGTAAAAAAAATGAGCAAAAAGAAAAAGAGCCAATCTCCAAATCAACCCAAGGCCAGTATAGGGATTTTGATACAGGAGACTTGTCTCCTCTGGACTGCTCTCTTGCTGAGGAAGATCATCCTATCTTGGATAAATTCTAGTTCAGTGCTGAGTGTGTTCTCATAGTCAAGGAGGTGGAAGTTCTTTAAATTACAGTGAAAGACCAACCATCTGGCTGCTAGGGTGCAGAAGAAAATTATGCTCTCCCCCCCCCCCCCCCCCCCCCCCAAAACCTTTCAGAAAAGTTTCCATACGTCTAACTCAGAGCACTCAGTCTGGAGTGCTTTACGGGAGACAGTTGATCAGGTCCCTGAGCTTGAGGACCTGCAACAGATCTTTCTAATGGCAGCTTAATGCTTACATGTCTGATGGCACGTGGAGCCAGAGCATCTAACAGCATCTACATGAGTCAAATCAGTTGCACTATTTGTTAAAAGTAGAAATATTGCTGTGCTTTTCCAAGTACATTACTTGACGAATAGTGGAGACAGACTTTTTATTAAGTTCTGTAGTGGTGAGACAGAGGGCAATGGCTTTAACCTAAGAGTGTAGATTCACACTCAGTAGGAGGAAGATGTTCTTCCCTGTGTGAGTGAGTGAGGCCCTGGCACAGGGTGCCCAGAGAAGCTGTGGCTGCCCCATCCCTCAAAGTATCTAACGTCAGGTTGGATGGGGCTTGGAGGAACCTGGCCTTGTGGAAGGTATTCCTGCCCATGGCTGGAGATGACATTTAGATGACCTTTAAAGGTTTTTTTTTCAACCCTTACGTTTCTATGTTGAAGTACTTTTAAATCCTAGAATGAAAATCAGTGTGCATAAGCACATGAAAATTACATGTGCGTTGTTTTATGACTTTCTGGCATCACCTGCTTACCTTTCCAATGGTTTTCCTTAACAAATGCTGTAACATTAAGATGCTTCTAAAGTTACTCATTGAGATGATGCCAAAAATATAACAGAGACCAGCCAGTTTGCATATTTTGAATATTTATAATAAAAACTAGAATGATTTTGTTAAAAGTTGAGGATAAGCCTTTAGCTTGCAACTTATGTATTGTTGTGTAACTAGAATTGTCCCGGTGAATACAGTTGGAGTGGAAGAAGGTCACTCAAATAGACTTCAAGATGACTAAATTATGGACTTGAAGAAAACTAGTAATATCAGACCAACAATATTTCCCTACTCCCCTGAAATTCCCCCTTCTTGTGCTTTTTGTCTGTTTTGGACCAAAACAGAGTGCATTACTTAGAGAATGGCTGTTGTTCCTGGTGCATGTGCCAAAATAAAACATTTTCCCAGATGTGCCCTCCTTCAGAAGAAAAGTGAAGTCCTAATTCTCTCATTACTAATTAGGTACTTGTCTGCAGAGGGGAGTCCAACTAGGTTCAAGCAGGAGATTCCTGTAGTAACTTCTCACAAAGCAAGTTTTTCTTCCCTTGGGACGTTATTCCAAATTATTTTTTGTAGAGCTCTTTGAAGTTGGTCGTGTTTTAGAGCCATCTAACTTGATCTTTTGTCACCTATATTTCAATAAATTGCCAGTGTTGGACTCCCTTTTTAGATTCCTTGTCAGGCCTCCAGTTCTGCATGGAGCTGGCTTAAATGGGACATGCACACTGTGGGATGATCCAGGCCAGTCTTTGTCTACTCAGATGAGCTGTTGTTGACACTATGGATTTTGATACTACTTTACTCCCTTCTATATGTTGTTTCACCCCTTGTATGGCAGTAATAGTTGTATTTTGGATACTCTAATGCATGTTGTTGTTGCCTCTGATGATGTCTATCTAAAATAAACTCACCGTGTTTGCAGGTTACTTGCAAATTCTGAAAGGCTTCATTTTGCCAACAGTTTGTCTTGTTTTTTTGAAGTTGTGTCGCAAGTAAAATAATCCCAAACTTTTTTGAGGAGGTGTGAGAAATGTTCGCTGGTTAATCATGATGGGTGTGAAATATTTCAGGCACTTTTGACTGTGAGGCAAGATGACCATGGGTTTGTTTGAGATGAGCTAAATAAATCACACCAAAGCACTTAATCTGATTTAAGTTAGATATTGACAAGTGTATTCAAATTCATAAATTGAATAGATGACTTTTATAGTATATATTCATTTCTGTTAGTGATAAATAGCTGGAGTGAATTTCACTGGCTTGTAGCAGGGTTTCCAGCAAGGTTTCCCTTTGCTTGTGTCAGCACAAGAGGTTGCAGTTTTGGGAGATGACCAAGATCAATAGTGTCAGGCTATGTGGAGATAATTTGTTTTGCATTTCTTACTATCTGTAGCTATGCTATCAATTATTTTGTTCTATCATCTTTCTTTGGAAATCCTTGTTTGTATCTTATTTGCATATTTTCTTTGAAGTATTCCTAAAATTGTGGAGTAAAAGGTGCTCATAAAGCATAGTTACTAGTGCTAAAGCATCCATTTGCTTATGGGTTACTTCCTAAATAAAATTCTGTGATGTTGATCTGTGGAACTGAATAGACACTTGTAAACTCAAGAGAACACTTGAAATCTGTAATCATCTTACATATCTGCTTACTCACCTCCGCAGTGGAATGGGGAGGTGAATGCTACAAGACTAAAACCCATGGGCTGAGAAAAGAACAATTCAAATATTGGAGTGAAGAAGCATATGATAATAATAGGAAAAAGAGAGGAATAAATCTGAAAAATCAAGTGATGCTCAATACAATTGCTCAGCACCTACTGACCCATGCCCTGCCTGTCCCCCAAGAGTGATTGGCCCTTCTTGGCCAGCTTCCCCGGTTTGTAGACTGAGCAGAACATTCTGTGGTACAGAATATTCCTCTGACTGGTTTGGATCAGCTGCCCTGACCATGCTCCCCTCCAGCTTCTTGTACAGCTGACTAGCACAGGACTGTGAAAAGTCCTTGACTTAGGTATGCATGACTTGGCACCAGACTTTGGTGTGTTATCAAGATTCTCACACTAAATCCAAAACACAACTAACACCTGCTGAGAAGAAAATTAACTCTATCCCTGCTGAAACCAGGACAGCAGGTAATCTTGTTCAAAGGAAGGAACACCAAGATTGTATTCCTATGGAAGCTTTTTGATTGGGTAGATAGTCTTCTAAACACTGTTCCCATTGGTCTTGTCTCTACAGGAGAATGGAGATAGGGAAATCTCTGTTCCCATGGTTTTAGTGATAAGTTTAAAGCCTGATGTATTTTGCTCTGAATGGAGCTTGGGTTGGTGGGTTCAATGAGATAAACCTGAAGATGAATATGAAAGGTTTTTTTTATGGTTATTAACAGTGTGGACAGCTATATATTTTATGTGTGGGAAGTACCTATGTGTCTGTTCTTGGAAGGCTGAAAATTTGAAGAAATACCTTCTTTTTGGTCACCTGTTGTCTGTATCTGAAGGTTTTGTACAAACTGAAATGTTGATAAAACTGGTTTCTGAGGTCTTGGTCTCTTCATTGAATAACCTAGAGGAGTAACAAATCCCATCAACTGTTTCTCCATGTCTTTGCTGTTAACCTTATGGTGGATGTGGCTCATCTATGTTTGAAAAAATTGTTAGATTTTGAAGTTAGGTTGCCAGCTTGGCCATGAAGTGGAGATATGGCTTTTATGTCAACAGACAATATATTATAATGATTTTTATTAGCTGCTTAAGTTTTTCTCACTTTTTGTATTATTTCAATTATTGAGGCATATAACTAATGGCTTCCAAATGGGAGGTGCTTAAAAGAGGTGGCAGTTGCGAGGCTGGAAACTAAACATGTCTCTTGAGATTGTGCTGAAGTGGTAGCTGAGTTCATTATTTTAGTGTGAAGTTGAGAAAGTGATGTGGTACAGTGGTGTCAGAAGACTCTTTCTCTGGATTAGTAGCAGTTGCACCTGCTGGATGTTAACCAGGATCTGGAAGCATTTTTCTGTCACAAATAACTTCTGCAACTAACTGTGTGCAGGGGGAGACTCACTTTGTTCATAATGTTGTTAATATTTTGTTGCCCAGAGTGGTTGTGGCTACCACATCCCTGGAAAGTGTTCAAGGCCAGATTGGACAGGGCTTGGAGCAAGGTGTCCTTACCCATGACAGGAGGATTGGAAAGAAGTTAGCTTTAAGGTCCGTTCCAACTCAGACTGTTCTGTTATTCTATGATAATCCTTATCTGGCCATATTTACTTACAGGCAGTATTTAGTTGCTGTGAAAAGACCTGTTATTGTGCTGTATAAAGACTTCCATGAACTGTTGACTAGGTTGTAGGGTGATTCATCAAATCATCGTGTTCTTTATCATATCTGTGTAGCTGCAATATGTTTGAGACCATAGTGAGCTGCAATTTGGGGCAGACTGGCTGCTGCATGGCTGCCTCTGGCAGACAGTAAATCACTTGTTCCTAGTCTGCTGTGAGCCATATCACAGTGTTGTACCCGTTTGACTGGATTTGTTTAAAATATAGTTGAGATTCTTGTTTGTTTAAAGGTCTCTTTTTTAAGTGTTGGTGTAACTCTGCTGGTTTCTGTTTCATTGCAGAACTACCCATGAGTTCTTGTTTGGAGCCCTTGCTGAACTTGTAGATAACGCCAGGTATGTACCTGAGACTGCCTAATTTCTAAGATAACTTTGGTTAAGATTTAATTCACTAATGTATTAGTTGATCTTAAGCAATTTTCACTTCTAGTAGACTTTACAAGAAAATAGAAGACATTGCTGCAATTAAGTATGAGTATTCCACTTGCTCCTCTTATATTGCCACATCAACCCCCTAAAAAAAATGTATTCCTGGAAAGACATGTTTGAATGAATCCTGGAACAACTCGTATTGGAAAGGAAATTGATAGCAGACACAAGACAGATTTGAAGAAAAAACTAGTCTGCCTTTTTGTGTAAAGAAATTGCTAAAATAAATATTGCAGGACCTGTGACTCTTCTGATATCTAAAAATCATAATATCAAACATGACAATGAAAATCAAATCAGAAGTGGGATGCTGAAAAATAGAGCAAGAACTGCTGAAGGAATTTTGACACTTCAAGAGATATGGTCTTTGGAAATTGCAGGTGTTGGGCCACCTGTCTCACCTGTGTGTGGGAGGAATCCCTGCTATAGCGACCTCCCAAGTCTTGTGTGCTTTTCTCTTGAGCTAGAGGAAGTACTGTCATGAAGCACTACAAAAGTATTTTGGGATTGTTTTCTCTCAAATGTGGTTTGTCACGGTGTGCATTTGTCATTTAAGGAGCTGAAACTGGGGCATTTTTGAGTTGGAAAGGTTCTATTTAAGGAATCAGCTCTGTGTGTGTGTGTGTGCACTCGCATGTGAGCTGGTGCTGTGTTCAGGGTTGCAACAACGTAGGAAAATGTAGGGTCTTCGGGGGTGGTTTCCCCTTCACCTCTTAATTCCCCTCTGGCTATGGAGAGGTTGTCTTTTGGGAAGAAGTAGCTAGGCTGGGCTAGAGGTGCAAAATTGAAACAAAGTGGCTATGGCATTTGTCAGGTGGGGCTTTGTTACAGCTCTATAACTCAGCAAACAAAGAGGGAAGAAGGAAGTAGTGCTCTGCATGCTGTTCTTTCAAATACAGAGGAGGATGCAGTGTGTGAAGGGACTCACTTCAGTGATCTTGTAATGACAGTTTCCTGTAACAATCTTGAATGTATTGGAATGAAGCTTTATGTGGAGTTACTAAACCTTTTGTAGACAGCTTGACAGAAAAACTATAGGTGTTGTTTGTTTTGTACAGGAGGGAGCTCAGAAGTATGTATTCATTTGATTCCCAGCCCCAGAATGACTTTTGTTAGAATGCCAGTGGTACTTCCTGTCACCAGAACTGTTTGTGTGCTAGCATTGTCTTAATGCAGGAGTTTAGGTTCAAATAGCCAAATGTAGAACAATGTTTTCTGTCAGTGATGACTGTGGGGCCTCTGAGGACTTTGATCTGTACGGCCAATTATTTTGGAAATGCTTGTGTATGCCTGAATTTTTAGCTTCATTTCTGTTTTAACGTTTGGATATCAATTGTGCTTTTATTTCTCTGCAGAGATGCAGATGCCACGAGAATAGACATTTATACTGGTAAGTCACGAATGCTGCTTCCTTGCATGTCTGCAGTTAAGTCAGTAGTTAACTTAGATTTAGGCTGCATATGTATTTGTCCTGTATTGAATAAGAGTGAGAGTGCTTATTCCCAATCCTGGGGTCAGTACTGGGCCCCTCCAGACAAGAAAGATATTGAGTGGCTGGAGCATGTCCAGAGAAGGGTAAGGGAGCTGAACAAGGGCCTGAAGCACAAGTCTGATGAGAAGTAGCTAAGGAAGCTGGGGGGCTCAGCCTGAAGAAAAGGATGTTTGTGGGGGCCCTTCTTGCTCCTACAAATCCGTGACAGGAGAGTGCAGCCAGGTAGGGGTTGGCTCTTCTCCCAGGTAACAAGTGACAGGAACAAGAGAAGATAGCCACAAATTGTGGCAGAAGAAGTTTAGATTGGATATTAGGGAAAATTTCTTCGCTGAAAGTGTAGTCAGACACTGGAACAGGCTGCCCAGGGCAGTGGGGGAGTCACTACCTACCCATATTTTAAAAATATGTAGATCTGGTGTTTAGGGGCATGGTTTAGTGAACTCAGCTGTGTTACATTTGTGATTGGACTTGATGATCTTAAGGGTCTTTTCCAACCTGAATAATTCTATTGTTCTACCATTTCTTCTGTGCCATAGTACCTGTTGTCTTTCAAAAAGGAATGCCTTTACAAATATCTTGGGGAAGCAATTAAGTCAACCTTCATCTGAGGTCAGGTGAAGCGAGTTGCTCTTTGTAGTGGATGCTAAAAAACTCCACTGACACAATACAGTTTTATAGTGCAGTTTTGTAGTGAAGAAGTTCTTAGTCATCCTGTAACAAAAATCTGGTGCTCTTTCTTACAGCTTAGCCATATTGCAGGTTTAAAAGTCCTATTTGTTGTGTTACTTTTGTTGTTAACACCAATCCCATTTTATGGTATTTTTAACTTCTGCTTATGGGAGCTGTGACTACTTCTCATGCAGAGCGACGAGAGGACCTACGAGGTGGATTCATATTATGTTTTTTGGATGATGGAACAGGAATGGATTCAAGTAAGTGACAGAAAGTTACACCTGCATTTGCAAGCTGAGGTTTCATGTTGTGGTTTAAGTTGAATTAACAGCTTAATTTCATTGAAAAGGACATGTTCCATGCCTGTATACATGTTTCAGCCTCTCCACTTGCTCTTTCACACCATATATACATATCAAACCATTTACCTCTTCCATTGCAGTAAACTAATCTGGTCAAAAGAAAATTGTTTTGCTGCATTATAGAGTTGGGTCAGCCTGGCTTGAAGTTTCCCAGTACACTGAAGTTGGTCTTGGGCCTGAAGGGAGAATTGTGGAGCAAGAAGGGGGAACAAGTACAAGGTTTGATGGCATAAGCTTTTTCCCCATGTGGCTGCCAGATGATTGATGTATCTCAACTCTAACCAGAAGGTGTGCTATGGCAGAAATTAAGGTTCTGCTTTGAAAACAGTTTGCCATTATTTCATCATGGACATTGTGTCTGAGATCAATACTGGACAATATAAAACCTCAGTAATATGAGAATATAGCAAATGTATTTCTGCCTTGTAAGTATTGCTGTAAATTAGTGTTGTATCTAGCAGGAGAAAGCTAAAAGCTTTTCTGCTTTACTTTAGCATCAATGAGCACCGTCAACCCACCTTTGAGTCTTGAGGACTGGTAAGTCATCCTGTGAGGAGCTCCGTACAGGGCAGAAAAATTAGGTGAAATTGGGAGGTGAATTTGTAGAAGACAAAGGAAATGGGTAAATAAGCAACAACTAACGTTTTTGCACTGATTCCTCAGTACTTTTAAGTTCCTGTTGTGATATTTTCATAGTTCAATCCCAGCTAGCAACTCAGCCATACACAGGTGCTTACTCCATCTCCACTGGGACGGTGGAGAGAATCAGAAGGGGGTAAAATGTGAAAACTTAATGGGTTGAAGTAAAGACAGTTCAGTAGGGAAAACAAAAGCTGTGTATGCAAGCACCGCAAACCAAGGAATTCATTCCCCACTTCCTATGGGCAGGCAAGTGTTCAGCCACCCCCAGGAGAGCAGGCCTCCATCATGTGGAACAGTGACTTGGGAAGGCGAATACTGTAAGGCCACATGTGCCCCTCTTGCTCCTACTTCCCCAGCTTTATCTGGTGAGCACTACATCAAGTTGCATGGAGCTTGGAGCAATGTGGTCTAGTGGAAGGAATCCTTGCCCATGTCAGGGTGTGGAACCAGATGGTCTTCAAGGCCTGTTCTAATCCAAACCATTCTGGGATTTTATGATACTGTTTGGTATCCCTTGGGTCAGTTGGGATCAGCTATCCCAAACTTGTCCCCTCCCAACTTCTTGTGCAACCTAGCCTGCTTGCTGGTGGTGCAGTTTGAGAAGCAGAAAAGACATTTATGCTGTGTAAGCTGTGTTCACTAATGAAAACCCTGTATTAGCAACACTCTTCTCTAAAATACAGTCCCATGCAAATTAGCATGGAGAGATTGAACTCTGTCCCAGCCCAAACCCGTATAGATATGAGCATTTCATTCAATTTAATATGTGCTTTAATCCACAGATTTGTGACTTCCATTAAGGAATTTGGTTTGAAATCTAGGTACTTTCTGTATATTCTTTGGAATACAATTAAGGATGCTAAATGGGTCTCCCAAGAGTACTTTTCTGCCACCGGTTTAACTGAAGGAAACAGTAAAGCCCCATCCATAAAAAAAAGCTATGAGATTGAAGTGTGGCCTTCTGATAACCCTTAGAATCAGGCAGAGGAAAATACAACCTTCTCTGTCTGTGTTGAAAACTGGAATGTGCCAGATGTCTGTTCTAATACCACAGAATTTCATGGCAGCTTTTATACAGTTATTGCTTCTGTAGTGCTGGTGTTGTGACAAAATGGGATTTAAGTATTGACTATTGTCTTGGTTTAAGACAATTTAAGGGGGATGCTCTGAAATGAGTTATGTCCCCTTAGTTTTAACCAATCCCTTTCCACAGGAAATAAATGGGTAAAAATAAATGAAAAAATAACAGTTTACTAACAAGCAAAACAACAACAGGCACAAACTAACAGTAAATAATGACTAGATACAAAACTGCTAAATGTCATGGACTCCCTGGGAACAAAGAGAAACTCAAAATGACAGAGTGACATCTTTCCCCAAGATGATGCTTGCCGTGGACAACCGTGTGCGGGAAGACAAAGGGAAAATGGCAGCAGCCCTCCCTCTTATCTCTGGGGCAGCAGCTCGATTGGTGTACACAGCTGGCATGCTCTGGCAGCTGGTACTCCATCAAGGACTAGAACCTGTGGAAGGACTTCACCTTCGTCTTGGCAGAGGATAGCAGGGCAGCCAACTCAGACTCTGTGACTTCTTGCATTAGCTGGGTGCTGCTGGCAGCTGTAGCAGCTGCAGGGACTGGGGCCTCTTCACTCCTCCTAGCACCATGCTACAGCTGCAGACAGGTGTTGCAAAATTCACTCTGAAACAATTTTCAACTGTGAAATAGTGTCCCATTTTGTAGCAACAGTTGCTACTGTTGTGAGCACAGAAAACCTACCTGAAAAACCTCCTCTGGAGGTCAGAGAGAAACAGAGGAAAAAAATGCCCATAGCAGAGCCTCTGCCTTGAGCAAAAGCTATGAGGGGAGAGAAGAAGGTCGGCCTGAATGCCTTGACTTTAAAGAATTTGACACTCACCTGCCCCCACCCAGAATCCTGTGATTCTGATTCTGGCCACACCACCAGGTCTTAAAGAGACTTTCAAATTTGGGCACAGATAGATATGAAATACAATAATACTTGGGTTACCCAGGACAGCTATTAAGTGGCTTCTTTAGACTAATCTTTCAGCTAAATGTTGAAGAATTTTATCCTGATAGCCTGAAATGCTCAGTAAAGATTTGTAGATACTGTGCGTTGCAGGGGTATTTCACAGCGCTATGCATTGTATATAGCAAATGCCACGTAATTCATGTCCTTGGATTGTCTTGATGCTTGACCAAGGGCAGCCAGGTGGAAGCTCTGTGTGCTGCACCATTTGCCTGTCAGCATGGACAGAAGCAGCTAAGGAGAGTCTTTCGTTTAAACTTGCTGTATGGGGCTCTCTGGTTCCATTCCTGGCTATAGAGGTATGAGCTTTAATTTCTCATAATGCAGGGTCTACCAGTTTTAAAGATACCCTGAAGATCTCCTATATGACTTTAAGAGATGTCAGCAGGAAACTTTTATTTGGACTTTTCTCCCTCCATACAGACCTTGCTTCAACACAAAGCATGGATCTTGGGAGTGTTTTATTTTTGTGCGTGATAACTTTAATTAAAAATTGTTTTTATCATACACAAAGCTGACATGTTAAAAAGAATACCTCTATGACTTGCTGTAGTGCTGTTGGAGCCCATGCTAGCATGGGATCTTCCCAAGTCAACTGGAAGGATGGCTTGGAAGGCTGCATATAGTGCCATCTGGGGATGATGGGAGAATAAACCCAGTTGCATCTGGGCACTTCTAAACTGAGGGAAGAGCTAAAGGGCTCAAGTTAATTGTTCCAGTAACACATTCTTTGTGTTACTCTGTCTTGTTGATGTTCTCTTTGGTCTTGTTCTGTCTTGGGCAATTCCAGATTTGTCTGGTGGGCTCTGAAAACAGAAGGATATAGTGAGACAGTTGGTCAGATTTGATTACTCTGTCTGATGGCTTCTGATTAGCAAGACAAATGACAACTCCTCATTTCTAAAAAATTAGGGGTGTTTGTCAAGTGATTCCCGCTACAGCTGCATTCAATACTCACTTCATTGGTTCTCTTAATGATCACTCTGGGTTGTGTGGTCTCAAAATCAAAATACATTTGTACTCAAGCTGGAAACATCTCATGAGTTATCATAAGGTCCAAGGATTCAGTGATGTTACAGGACAGCTCTTTTCAAAGGAACCATCATGTCCTGCAGAGAGATATCAGAGTTACAGAATCTTCTGAGTTGGAAGGGACCCACAAGGATCATGGAGTCTGTCTTCTTGCCCTGCAGAGGACACCCCAAAATCCCACCCTGTGCCTGAGAGAGTTATCCAAATTCTCCTGGGGTTCTGTCAGGCTTGAGACCATGATCACTGCCCTGAGGAGCCTGTTCCAATGTCTGACCACCCTTTTGGTGAAGAACCTTTTTCTAATTTCCAGTATTAGTAAATATATTATTATCCAGTAAATACTCTCTGCCCCCAGTACAGACAATAATAGTCCAAAACTTTGGCTCTTTTGTAAGGAACTACATAGGAGTCCATAGAAAACCAAACAATAGATCTCATACAGCATATCAGATTTCTCATACTATCAGTGAAATCACCACTCAGGCTTGAATTTTTACCTAATGCCTGGCTCTGGAAGTGCTGCATGAATTTAAAGAATCAAAATACAGGTTGAATGATTCAATTAATCAACTTGTAGGTTGAGAAAGTATAACAACTAGTTTAGGAAGTGACTGCAGTTTTATTCTTAAGCAATTGAAGAAAATAAATCTCTGCCTGGCATTTTTGTCACAGAAGTGCTCAGGTTGGAAAGTGCCCCAATGATAATTTCTTCCAGCCTTTCCTGGGAAAGGGAAGAGATGATTTAGCACCCTGTCTCTCCAGTGGTGGGGGACTCCACCACATACCTGGTGATGTTGTTCTAGTGATTGATTAAATGACTGATTGATCTCTAAAAAATGTCTTACTTATTTTAAGAAAAAACCTCTCCCAATCCAACTTGTATCTATTGCCTCTTTTTCATGTGGCTCCTAGGGAAGGGTAGCCTTTGTAGCTACCCTTTAAGTGCTGAAATACTATGATGGGATTCCCCCTGGGCCCCCTCTTCTCAAGGAAGGAGACCTAGTTCTTCTCATAGAACAGTTTCTGCAGCCCTCTGATAATCTCCTTTGCACCCTGTTCAGTCTGTCTGCATCTTTCCTGAATTGAGCAGACAGAACTGTACACAGTACAGCATGTAGGGCCTGACAAACAGGAAGTTGAGTGGGATAATCACATTTCCATCTCTTTGGCAATGTCCCTGTGGATACAGTCCAGGATCCTGGCTGTTGTGGGACACTGCTGGATCATACTCAGCTTGTTGTCCTTCCAGCAAGGCTGTTCCTCCCAACCTGCAGATTCCAGTCTGTGCTGGGCTCTTGGGTTATTTAATCCCAGGTGGAAGACTTTGCAGTTCCCTTGAACTTCAGACACAATGTTGCTTGCCCATTATTCCAGCTGGTCCAGGTGTCTTAAGAAAGCATTCCTTATGTGCCCAATTTACCCCCATTAACAAAACTGGTGAGGATTGAAAAGCGCCCCACTGTCCAGAACCGGTATGGAGATGTTGAGCAGTGTGGGGCATAGTGTCAGTCTCTGGTGTCTCTGCTTGTGACAGCCTGCCAGCTGGAGTGAAAACCATTGATGATCACTTCTGAGCATGAACCATGAGCTAGTTCCCTACTTTTTTTGTATATCACTTGCCCGGTCTGACCCCAGTTTATCCAGGAGCAGGCTGTGTTAAACTGTGTCCAACACTTTCTTGAAGTCCATCCAAACAACACCCACTACTCTCTCCATATGGACAGAAAGTGGTGCCTTGTAGAAGGTGACCAAATCAGTCAGGTGTGACTTACCTTTGTAAACCTCTGCAGACTTAACCCAGTCACCTGCCTTGTCTGGCTTCTGATACTTTTTAAGAGGGCTTATTCTGTTGTTTTTTGAGAGATTGAAGCAAATATATCAGGTCTTGCTTTTTTTCAACTGAATTTTTGAAGTTTGGAAACTCAAAAAAGCTTTTGTTTTAATGGAAGCAGTTAATTAAGTAGTAGTGTCTTGGTTGCTTTATTAGTATTTTAGTATTTAGTATGTAGTATTTTAGCAGTTGCTTTATTTGTATTTTAAAAATACTGTTTATCCAAGGCTCACAATGGTGAGGAACTGGAACTTTAGACTCCAACTTTAGTTGGAGTTTAGACCAACTCCTACTTTTAGAGTGCGTACACACTTGTGTGTGTGGACAGTGACTCTTGGGGGCCACTTTCAGGGGAGCAGTCTACACAATTCTCAAGAGAAAATGTCTCTTTAACCTTGTTTAAGGTTAAATGTTTAACCTAAACATTGATATTTCCTCTAAAGTTAACAGAGTTTAAAAATAAATTACAGGAACATATGTCATAAATTACAGGAACATATGTCAAAGCTATTTGTCAGTCACTGTCTGTTTCCAGTCATTACCCAATGTGGAGTTGGTGTCCTGTGTTTGTTACAATGACAAAAGACCTCACAGCATTTCCCTTGTTCCCCTCTCCTCGGGAAAGGTCAACTTAACTTTAGGCTAATTTCCCCCAGGTAATGAATTAAATCCTGCCATTTTGAGTGAATTTTTTCAGCTTGTTTTTTTCTCTTCTTTGTTTTGCATAGATCTCCCTCACCTATTTTTATTGCTGGGGAATTTGGCTTTTTTAAATCCAGTAACTCTGAGATACAACAAAACAAAAACAGTGTGACTAAAATAGCCTTAATTTAAACACCCTCCAGAGCCTATAAAGAGCTGGGGAAAAAAAAAATTGTGTCTTGATTCTTGGGGGGATATAAGTATTAAATCTCTCCTAAAGACAGCCTGTAGAGAGGTGCTACCTCACATTCCCCTCTGCTCAGCATCACCTTCATCCCTCTGACCTGAAAGAAGAGTCATAATTGGGTGGTCTCAGATATCCAACATTGAATGATAAACCATCTGGTCACCTTTCCTGAGAGGGAAAGTGCTTTGGATAATTACTTTTTAGCCTTTTTAGGCTTCCTAAAAGTTTCTTAAAAATAGTTACTGAAAAAATGCTTGTAGAGCAAAAAGGTTCCAATAGTCCTCTTTTTAATATGCCCTATCTACTTTCCTTACCAACATAGTAATAGTAGTTAGAATAATAATAATTGGATGATGATGATCATTATCACCGACATCCTTACCCAGATCTCAAATACAAGACATTCCAGTGTTATCTTTCTTTGGCTAGAAAATACTACAGTAAGCTACAGGGAAGGCAAAGGTACCCTTATCCAGTCCAAAGCTGTTTCTGGAATAGCTGTGGAGCTCCACTGAGAACAACTGCTATTGAGGCAGCGAGGTGTTTGCACAGATGTTCTCCTGTATTTGTGTCTTTAAATCTGAATATAATTTCAACTGAAAATGGCATTCTGATACCAGCTCAGTGATGTCATGTCAGACCAATGGTGTTAGTACTGAATATTTTACTGTAAAACTGGTCAGTGCCGATAGGCCTGTGTGAGTCTCCTGCATGCTGAAATTTAGCTTGTCCATGGGCTCAGCCTCCCTGGAGTTGCCTTGTGGGGTGAGTGATGTCTTGTGCTCCCTTATAGCTTGTGTATGCATTTGTTTTTACCCCTGATATTAAGGCACTTTGTGTTCCTTGTCTCTGGAATTAAACTTTATTTCTCCCAGTAAACTGGTGAAATGATTATCTCTTGGGGGAAGGGAGGGGAGTCATTCTGTCCTAGTGGTGATGTTAAAAGGCTTTATCCCTTGAACAATAGAAAGGCTGGAACTAAAAATAACAGACCCTCTTAGCTGTAAAGCCATTGTGTCCTTTCATTTTGTCCTGTGCTAATGAAATCCTCTGCTATTTGCTGTACGACCTGCTTATGTTGACTTTCTCCCCAGGTGTCCTGCTGCCAGGGCTCCAGCAATCTGCTGCCAAAGTTAGCTTGTGTCCTACTAGTGCTTTAATTAACCAGAGTGTTCAGTTCAGCACTGTGAAGAAATAGCAGTGTTTATTCTGGATTCCTGACCTTTTTAATAGTCCTGACTTATGCTCTGGTGTTCTCAAGTGTGTTGTGTCAGTGGGACATGGGATACCACAGACCCACTGCATCTTAGGGTCTTAATTTATGAGAATTAACAACTGTGGTGGACACAATAGATCATTTTTTTATGGATTTTTTTTTTTATTTTCAAAAAGAAACATCTTCATGCAGTTCAGATGGGACAGTGAACTAGGCTGAAACCTAAAACTCTTTCTGTCAACATCATGGACCTGTACAAATCTTCTGGTAATATCAGTGCCTTCAAGCAGCATGTATCTCACAGGGCTCTGTAGTACAGCTTCAGGATGCAGCTTCATCTTGGGCTTCTGGCCTGTTTTCTGGCCTATTTCCAGTGGTGAAGGAGTTATCTTCTTTCCCTATCTAAAAGATGTGTCTGTTTGTGTCTGGACACTGAAATAAGCCTTTTTTGTTCCCTGTCTCTTGTTGCAGATGAAGCTGCCAGTGTTATCCAGTTTGGTAAATCAGCCAAGCGATCACCTGAGTCCACTCAAATCGGGCAGTATGGGAACGGCTTGAAATCGTACGTACAATAAGAGCCAGCCTCCTGAGACTGGGGAGGTCATAGTCCAGGTGATCGATGTACTTTTTGCTCAGAGGTGTGTAGCTTTTTTCCCAGAAAAAAAAAAAAAAAAAAAAGATGAACTCTTAAGATCCCCTGGTTTGGTAGACAGGAGCTCTCTCAACATCTGCTGTAGATTTCCAGTGGCCAAGAAGGCTCTCTACAGCTGATGATAGTGATTTGGCACTATGTTTGCATAAGGCAGAGGGTACAGGTAAGAGCTTGGGGAAAATAATGGAAGAGCTGGAAACAAAATGGTCATCTCCCTGTTACAGCCAGGTAGTAAAATTTGAGCAAAATAGTGCTGCAGCCTCCCAACAGGGAAGTTGTCTGGTGCAAAGGAGATGGACTTAAACCAAACAAATACAGAGAGAAGGGGAATGATGGAAGCAATGAGAAGTAGGATTAAGTGCAGAGGAGCACATGTGGGAAAGGAATCCTACTGGTTGGAGTGGATTTGCTAGGAAAGAGAAAGAAGTTTGCTGTGTTTTTGGAAAAGTTACAGGGCTTTGTGACTTACTCCAGCTGTTCCGTTTTGTGCTCACCCATGTGGCTTGATTATATGCATCCTATTCGGTAATCAGTGGGACCCTGTAACCTGCGGGGGAAAAATTAGGGGATCTTGAGACACTGTTGGTTCAGCTGCAGTGCAGGACAGATCCCAGATCCTGACTGTATGCTTCCAGGACAGATCTCTGTCCTTTCTTAACCTTGAACAAGAGGTGGACTTTATTACGTCTGAGAAATGCTGCCTGAAGCCCCAGCATGTGAAAGGTAGGTTGTGGTATCACTGTGGTATGGATCTAAGCCAGTCTGAAGAGAAATGTGCTGATGTAACACCAATACTTCTTTTGATGCAATGTTAATTGTTACCTGTTAAGGTGTTTTGAATGAGCTTGGTAACAGGATAACTTGGTAGAGAAGATAGAGAAGAGGCAAAGACACTATTTCGGATAGGAGAGTGGGGAGGAGGAGGGTACTGTCCCTTTTTGTGACAACAAGCTGCTAAGCTGCCGTAGCTGAAGTGCCAGTAAAGCTTTAGTTAGGTTAGGAAATTAATTTTCTGTCTCCAGACTACTGCACTTGATTCTGGGTACAGTGAAATGAGGAATATGCTTGCTTTTGCACTGACATTTCTGCTCAGAGATTTGAAGGTTATTGCCACACCTCAGTTGTCTTTTAATTTTTTTTTTATATTTTTGTTTAAATTTTCTACATAGCATGAGTCTACAATGGTGTGCACCTTTTCATTGTGACTGGTGTTAAATGTTTTGAAACATTGTGAAAATGCCCAGATTGATATGCCTTCTAAAAGGAATGAGATGTTTAGAGAAAAATGGTAGTTGCTGTTTCAGCCCTTCTGCCTAATTCTGGTTTTGGCATCTCAGAACTGAACATAATGGGAAGAAAGCTCAGTAATGTGGCCTGCATTCTGAGCAGTGTGGTACATCAGGTGTAACACACAGTTTGATCTCTGTCTACAGGGGTTCCATGCGGATTGGGAAGGATTTTATCCTGTTCACAAAGAAAGATAGCACCATGACTTGCCTCCTCTTATCACGGACATTCCATGAGGAAGAAGGCATCGACGAGGTTTGCATGTACTTCTTGTAATGAACTAATATAGTGAATGCTGCCTCATCTGAATTTGCCCAGCTCTCACAGAAAAGTCTGTCAGGGCTGGTTCTGACTCTGATGGGATCAGTGTATGGTTTTCTTTTGGCATTATGCTGTAGAGCTTCTGCAAAGTCAACATTTTTTTTTCCTTTTGGTTTTAATTCTAATTGAGAAATCTCTCTAGAGGAAGCAAGTTTGAAGGGCTTGTTTCAGTCACTTAAAGATGTGCTTATGCTAAGTTCAGGACATGCCCAGACATCTTGCATTTCCTTTTCCCATGAAATTTGAGTTTGAGAAATATTTAATTTTACTGCTCTGATTTGATTTTGTGTAGAGAATTAAAGGTGTTCAAAGTTGCTACCCACAGGTCATTAACTGCAGGTGTGTCTTCTTACACATATTTTTGATTTTTAATAAAAAGTCAGTGTAGTTCTACCTATGAAAAACTTGTATATTTTAATAGCTAACACAGGCATTGTTGTTCAAGGCAAGGTTGCTAATTTAAATTTGTACTGGGGTGGTATCTCAGAAAGCATCTTCTAGTATGAGGGAAGGATTGAAGGGACCTGTGCAGAGAAGCTGGGGAGGGGTAGTGCATGCTGGTAGCCAGCCTATGACTGAAGCAGGTTGGGAAGAGTAAAGTAAGTCTAATTCCCACAGCAGCTCTGCCTACGTTTTTGGATTGACCACAGTTCTGGAATGAGATTTGTGTCCTTGATGTGCAGCTGCAGTTTATAATTCTATCTATATTGTTACTCTAAATGGCAGAAACCACCTTGCTAGCGTCCTTTAAAAAATCAAAGACTGACATCAGGATTAATATGAGTGAAGGATATCTGAGTTCAAGAGAAGAATTAAGCCAGAGTGGGATTTTTTTAGTTTTGTGAAAGTTGCTACATGGGAAGGGGAAAAAAGCCATTGAGTGTGAGTAGCCAGTACCATACACATGACTTGGGAATGGTTCACTCTGAGACATATTTTAAGAAGGCAACTCAGAGGCTAGCAAAGAGGGTCTCTGAGCATTTGACAGACATGCAAACTACTGAATGAGCTGGAAAGAGCTCTCATGATGACTTAGGGGGCTGTCAGAAGGAGTAAGTCACTGGACCATGACCTGCAGGAGCGGCTGACTGCAGTGGGAGAGCCTGAGTCACTCTCAATACAATGGGGTTTACAGGTCATCGTTCCTCTACCCACCTGGAATACATGGAGCTGTGAACCTGTGACTGACAACATGGAGAAATTTGCTATCGAGACGGAGCTCATTTACAAGTATTCCCCTTTCAAATCAGAACGGGAAGTGATGGACCAGTTCAGTAAGATACATGGCGAGAAAGGTACATGTGGATGGTGCAGGTCACAAGTGAGGTATTTGGGGTTTTGTTGGGATTCACCTGGTTGACTTGTTACTTGCTCAGGCACCCTGGTGATCATCTTTAACCTCAAACTAATGGATAATGGAGAGCCAGAGCTGGATGTGACTTCTGACCCTCAAGATATTCAGATGGCAGAAACACCCCCAGAGGGAACGTAAGTGTGACTAGTGTAACGGGCCCTGATCAAATTTGGTGTAGGGCTTGTTATATACTGTGTACATGGGTTTTTTTTTTAAATTCTCTTTTTGTAGTGAATTAGAGAATTTAAAAGATCTGTAGTTTGTTCTTAAGCAGTTTGGGGTTCATGTATGCATCAGCCCCTGGGTGTTGTGGCTGTGTTTGGGGTAAATGCCTGCACTGGCTGATCTTAGCTTAGCCAAAGCAGAAGACTCAGTGTCCTGTAGGCATCATAAAAAAAGGAGCCCTAAGCTTCATGTTTCATTTTCTACACCTACCAACAATGTTTTCATCAGAATGAGAGCTGGTTGTGAGTCAGTGCTACTCCCAAATTGCTGTTCAGGTCAGCTTCTATGGGTGGATGGTATGGAAGGCAGGTGGGGTGTATTATCACATCTGTCAGGGAGCAGGGAGCACTTCTCCCTGCAGAGGGGCAAGAAGAATGTGCTCAGAGGGCAGCTGGAAGAGCACAGGCCCGTGTTTAGAGAGAGCTGAGTGTTTGCAGAGTTGATCACTTGTAGCCTGAAAACAAAAAAACTGAGCTGAAATGGGCCAAATGCTTGATTAGGTCTCAGAGCTCCATGGGCACACCTAGCAAGCTTTACCTTTTTGATGAGATTACGTGCTTCTTCCCTGCAGTGCTTGAATTTTCCATAGGAAGTTTCGGACTCTGTAAAGCAGCTCTGTCTATTTATTAGAGTGATGTCACTGAGCAAATTCTTGGGGTCGTCCAAGGGATCTCAGCATCTTTAATGCCTGTTTTTAAGGCAGGCATGATTGCCACTGATCACTGCCTCTTCTTTCTGATGTTGTGGTACCGTGTGTGTCAGTGAGTAATGCAGATTCTTTGGCAGTGTACTGCTAACTCACTGAAGGGTGGAAATGCTCTGATAGGTGAGCACACTTTTAGTCTTAAATAGTCCCGTTTATACCTTTGGCCATTATTATCCAGATGTATTCAAACTCCCTCTTCAGGCTGCAGTAACATGAGTATCAGTGTCTTGTAACAGTAGTTATGATGTACAGCTCAACAAAGAGTCTGGAGAAGACGTAAGTAGGAGAAGAATTAAAGAAAAGCTTTACTTAATGTAGCTTCATGATAATTAAAACAGAAAGACCTTTCACCTGTCTGTTTTGCTCAGGGTATCTCTTGGGCATTTTCTGAAATACATGGCTCTCTTGCAGCAAGCCAGAGCGCCGCTCCTTCCGTGCCTATGCTGCTGTGCTTTATATTGATCCCAGGATGAGGATCTTCATCAATGGACACAAAGTACAAACCAAACGACTCTCATGCTGCCTCTACAAGCCAAGGTTAGTGTTGCAGGTGTGTGGGACCATTTGGAGTTAGAGAAAAGATGTAGTGTTTTGCTCTCCAGGTGTATCCTGCATAATTCCATTTCTAACCCTAGTGCCACAGAATCGGACCATAAGAGAATGGCATGGGATGTTGACATTATGGGAAGAGAGATACATAGTGGAAAATCTAATGCCTTTGAAAATTGCATGAGTCATTGGTGCAACTTGGCTCCCTTTCAGAGCAAACAAAGAAATTGAGATCCTGGTTGTATGAAATGCCATATTCACACAAAACTGTTGGGTAACTGTGTTGTTGTTTTTGAGCGGAAGAAGGAAATACATATGGTGGGTGTTAGGTTTATTTCCAAAAAGAAACTAGACTGAGCTCTTTGAAACAGTTGCTTTTATATGTAGGTAATCCAGGTTTGAATAGAGAATTGAGAAAAAGCTTTCCCTATATTCCTTTTAAATCTTCTTTAACAAAAAATGTGACAGTGAGTTGAGTGTGCTGTCAGTTGGCTGAACAGAGACTGGAAAAGGTTACTGGTATGGGAGGGGAAAGGGAAACCTGTATTTCAGTCTGCTTGAGGCAGACTCTCTTTGGGAGCACACAGTCTGCATTCTAGATATCCTGGCATAATTTATTTGAATCAAATAGTAGTAATTTTGTAGAGTAGGGTGACAAGTGTCCAGACTGCTCCCTTTTGGCTGGGCTTCTCGATGCCAGCTTTGGGCTCCAGAAGCTGTGTGGCCATCAGGACAAGCCATCAAAGCCTTCACTGTGGGTTCTGAGAGCCAGAACAGCTCTTGGGGTAGATGCCACGCTGTCCTCTGGGCAGGTTGAGGAAACTCTTTTTCCTCAGGAGAGCTCAAATCTGCCTTGGGTGGCTCTTTCCAAAGGGAAAATCAGTAAATCAGTCCATTCTAAAAGTGGTTATTTTGCTTTTACTGCCATAGGTGTGGGGTTGTTCTACATTTTTCTCCCTGAACCTGCTGAAAAGGGTCACTTAAACCCTCGCTTTCCCTTTAGAGCTGAAGTCAGAGCTCACCATCCCCATTTATCTACTAGGCGTTGAGTACTCCGCAGGTTAATACTGGGTTAATCCCTTGCATTTGTGCCAGTGCTGTTTTGCTTGTGAGTGCACAGGGGAAGGGACCTCCATGGAGTCAGCTGACAATGCTCAGTTCTTTAAGATGGCTGTGTTTCTGGCCCATTAGCCTGGGCCAGGTAAATGTTGAACCTTCCTGGTCAAGCAAAGGGATGGGGAGCAGACAGTGGAGGTGCTGCTGCCTTACAGCCCGGTTGTCTGGGACATCTGAAGGGCTCTTTCAGAGGGGGCTCCCTCCTGCTGTCAGTCAGGTTGCCCTTATCTCTGAAGGAAAAGCCTGTACAGTGGCTTGTCTGCAGGTTCCAGTGTTGGTGTTAGTGGACAATGAATGGAAATCAACTGTGGATTTAGGGTATGTAAGTGCCCTTACTGAAAAAAAGGTTTTGCAGCCCTAGCACTGTTTTTCAGGAATAACAGTGCATTTCCTGAGCAGGATATTTGTTTTCTGTTCATCACCATCCATGTTTCTGTGGGAGAGGCTTCTCCTCACCTTTCTGGAGCTGATAACGTCCTTATGGTAGGGGCTGGCTGGTTTTGTGGGGATCCTTCACCAGCCTCTGCTGTTGTGTTACTACATTCCCTGCTTCCCTGGGAGTGGCCTGTGTCTCCTGAAGGATTGCTTCCATCTCTTCCCCGGTATCTGTTGGATCTTGTTTAGCAATATGGGCTGTGCAGGTAGAAATAGCCAGGCCACATGCAAGGCCTGTGCCTCTGTGAGGACACTCCAAGGCAGTAGAAATGAAGCATGAAGCTTGTGATGGTTCACAGTGTCATCATCTGGGACACCCCAGAGTTGCTTACAGTGCTCTCTACAGCAAAGGAGTGCTGAATCTATGGTCCCCCCCCAAGTGCTGCCCTTGCCTGCTGAGCTGGGCATGGGGGGGATAATTCAGCTTAACTCTGCTTCTCAGTGTTTTTATTTTCCCCTTTGAAGTCAGGCAGATGTGGGTGAAGTAATGTAGTTATGCCAACATATTGAAAGCAGCCTGGCTTTCAGTGTGTATTGTCTTTTGGCCCCAGATAGCTTTCATCAACCTTACATAGGTTAGAGATGACGCCACCAAAATCCTGACTCTTTAGCTCCTGACATGATGAAATCACCATTATTTCTGGAAGTCTTAGCACCTGCTTGCTTTTTCCCCAGGGAAGAAATCCTTACAAATAGCAGAGTTTAGCAAAATGTATTTCCGGGAACTGTGCTTGTGGTAATAATTTTCTAGGTTTGGGAGCAAGGGATTCCTGTTGGTGAGACTATGTCTGATGTCAGCACCAACATCCATGTGTGTTCACCCAGAGAAACAAACCTAACTAAAACTTTTCATAAGTACAAGGTTATTTCTCACAAATCCTGACAGTTTATCTGCCATTTGGAGGGAATTTTGTCTCTCATTAGGATCTAAGCATGATTCCAATCCATTGGTCAGTCAAGTGTTACATCCCTATGTGTTTTTGCCTCTATATAAGAACAGCATTTCTAGTGGCTCTTGCTTTACCTAAATACTGGAAAAATTAATCCTATCCATTTGGGATGGGATTTTCCTCTTCGTATATCCAAAACCTTGTGTCTTAAGGTGATCTGAGTTCCTGCAGGCTCTGCTTGTCCTAGGTGTCATCTTTCCTTGTGACGTGCTTGGAGGTGATGCACATTCATGATCTTCTGCCTCACAAACACCAATCTCTCGCTCTTCAGCAGTCAGTGAATTTGGATCTGTATTTGGCATGTTAGCACACAAGGAAGGTGAAACAAGCTGCTTCATCTCCAGCACAATTTACAAGGTTGTGAGTCAGATACGAAACACACAGAAGTGTGCTGAAACTTGAAGTTCTGATCAAATTGTTGTTTTGCTTTGAGATAGCCCTGTGTGAGATGGACCTATCAGACTGCACCCATGGACAGCTGTTCACATGAAAGATTATTTAGCTGTGGTGGGAGGATTTTGAGAAACTTTCCATATATATTCACTCTTCCTTTTTCCTTCTGAAGACATTTCTCTAAGTCTTGAGGTTTGCTACAAGAATATGGATATATTTCATGCCCACTGGATATTGTGGTTGGAGCTACTACTAAAACATCTCTGACTTAAAAAGATTTTGTTTAGCTTCATCCAAAAATGTCCAGTTCATGCTATGTAAACCTCTTCGACTTATTGAATCTATTGGGAGTAGTAGAGTAGTATGTGGGGACCTTGTTCTCTCATGTAGTGATGAAATTTTGGTTTGACCTTACTGCTGAGTTTGCCGATTAATATATTTTGATCATCATAGGATGTACAAATACACTTCAAACCGCTTCAAGACCCGTGCAGAGCAAGAGGTGAAGAAAGCAGAGCACATGGCAAGGATAGGTGAGTCGTCAGGGTATGCATTCATCTGTTGCTAGGGGGAGGACTAAACCCTTGGTGTGACCTGGGGTTGCCTGCCTCTGGGATCACTGGAATTGCTCAGGAACGGAATTATTGCAGCAACTACAGACGACACAGACTTACATTCATGCAATGGAAGGAATGTACATTGTTCCCAGAGACCATTTAATCTGAGTAGCGGATGTACAGGATAACCCTTGGAGTCCCAGTAGTTTGCCCCCACTCCAGCAGAAGCCTGGCTGAGCCCTGTCATCCTGCAGTTCTTCTCTCACCTTAAGATATTATGAGCTTTTGGTTGTGTTTTCGTTCTGCACCTTTCCTGTTAAGGCAGTTAAAAAAGTAGATTTTTATTCTGTCACTTATGTAAAGGGATTAGTCTGGGTGTACAAGGGAGCCCTGGTTTGCTTGGTTCTAACTCTTCCAGGCATACCTTTTGCTCATCTAATCTTCCTTTCCTGTTAAGTCTTTTAATCCTCAGGGAAAGCTCAGTTTGTTGTAATTGGATATTCAGCATATAGAAATCACACAAGCATATAAATACACCATTAAACTGTATTACAACTGCCTTAAGTCTCCAAAAATTTAACACAAAAATCAGTGTCCCTCCCTAACCGTTGATGCAAAAATACTGTAGTGAAGGAAGAATCTTGGAAGTTGTAAGTGATTTATATGTGACCTGTATCTTCTGGTAGGTTACATAAATCACTTGGAGGCATGTGTCCTCTGTCCCTGTGTCAGAGCTGCTTTAGGCATGTTCGCATGTGGCTGCAGGTCATATACACAAGGCATGGTGCCGCATTCAGCCTGTACAGCATCACAGAGGGCAGTGTGACTGTGACCCTGCCCCAAAGAAAAGCAGCAGAGTGAAATGGTGTGAATTACCATGTTCCCTGTTCCTCCTTTAGGAAGTACAGCCTGGCAAAATAGACTCGGTAAGATGAAGCTTAAGCAGATTTTATTGTGTGGCTCAATCCTCATAGGTGAATTTATTTTTACATTGAGTCCTATAGCCAGGGCAGGTCTTGAGCACACACTCCCATTGCTTTTCAAGAAGATGCAAAGAGCAGGATTTAGAGAAACTTCTTCCCTGAAGCAGTCTATGAGGCTTTCATGGCACTTAAAAGTGAAGTTTAGTATATGGCACTGAAAAATGGTATCCATTGTTGTCCCAGTGCTGAGAACAGATCCCATTGACACTAAAATGTCACACATTTCCATCACCAAACGAGCCTGATGCTTTTGGGTGTGTAAGGATCACTGAACCTGGGGATTTGTGCCCAGGGGGCCAAGGAGGCCAATGACATCCTGGCCTGTGCTAGAAATAGTGTGGCCAGTAGGACCAGGGAAGTGATTCTTCCCCTCCGCCTGGTGCTCAGCACTGCTGAGGAAACAACTCAAGTACTGTGTCCAGTTCTGGGCCCCTCATTTCAAGAAGGATATTGAGGTGTTAAGAGTGAGTCCAGAGAAGGGCAACAGAGCTGGTGAAAGGTCTGGAGTGCATGTCCTATGAGGAGAGCTGGGGTGGTTTAGCTTAGAGAGAAGGAGGCATGTAAAACTACCTGAAAGGAGGCTGTAGCCAGGTGGGGGCAGGTCTCTGCTCCCAGGCAAATAGTCACAGGATGAGAAGACATAGTCTGAAAGTGCACCAGGAGAGGTTTACGTTGGACATTAGGATTAATTTCTTCACAGAAGGGATCATTAGATATTGGAATGGTGGTGGAGTCACCATCCCTGGAGGTGTTTAAGGAAGGACTGGATGTGACACTTAGTGCTGTGGTCCAGTTGACATGGTGGTGTTGGTCACAGGTTGGACTCCATGATCTCAGAGGTGTTTTCCAACCTAATTGATTCTGTGATTCTATGAACTGCCCCAGTGCTTTTGGTGTACAGGAACCACCAAACCAACCCAGTGCTTCAGACAGTGCAGGGATCACTGAATGGGCCTGGTGCCTCTGGGGTGCGGTGCAGAGGATCACAAATGGGACATCACGCCATGATCAATATGATCAAGTGAAACCAATTTTATTGTACAGAAGCCTGTATTTATAATAAATTCTGCTGTTCACATGTCTCTAGCTGAGACATGATTGGTTAATCCTGTTATGTGTCTAAAATTAAATGCTGATTGGATCACCTGATTCTTCACGTGTTCTGCTTTGGTCGTCTGCCCATCCCAGGTTCTCTTTTTTACTGTTTTGAACTTTGCTGACAACTTTTGCTGACTCCTCTGACTCTTCTTCTTTTTTCCTGTCATCAAGGATTCACTGACCCCAGTTTCTTGAACTAGTTTCTTTGTTACCAGAAGGCTGGATTGTGCATCTGCTGAATGTGTCCATTGTCCTGCAAAAAATCCTCAACACTGGGAGAAAGAAGGTGTTGAGCAAAGGGCTTAGGACACTATGGTAAAAACTCCCAGCTGACCTCAGACTGTCACTGCAAGATTGCAGCACACATGGAGCCTCCAGGACTAAAACATGCTCGGGGCATTATCCTCAGGGGCCTATGTCCCATTACTTCACTTGTAGGAAAATACATTTAATCTGTAGCATCAAGCTTTTTTGTTCTCCTGCTGGTAGAAATTATTAATTCTTCATGGTTTGCAGTACTCCAGAGGGATCATCACCCAGGAATGATTTGCAGTTTGCTCTTTTAAACTCAGGAGTACATTGTGACAAATGGTGGGTCTCAGCTGAGCAAACAGCAGTTCCAGAATGCCAGAGATACCTGCCTACAAGGAATGTGTTGGAATCAGTCACACTGAGAGATTGCTGAGTCTCTGGATATAGTTTATGAGCTTGTGGAATCAAAACAGGATTACAAAAAAATAGCTGGATGGGGAAGATGTGACATGGTGGCAGTTGGTGGCATGGCTTTGGCATATCTAAAAAGAGATATGGTTCAGGAGTGGAGACATGCATATATTTAAGATGAGGAAAAGCCCCCAGAAACTTAACTTCTTTCCTCATGCAATAAGCTGTAGTATCCGTATTCCTAAGTGAGTGAGTAGACCTAGGAGAAAAGTACCATTCCTGGGCAAGGTGGCTGTGAAAGACCATCACTTGCTTTCTGTGTTCTTCTGAACCGAGACTGAGTACTGCACTGAGGCACCTTGGCATTGCCATTGCCTCGCTTCTGGAAATCTCCTTCCAAAGTTGGGAAGGCAAACAAATGGAAGAGGTGAGGAGTTATGCAGATATCAAGTACTAAAAGCTAACAGCTCTGTGCTAATTATCTGAATAATTCAGATAATTATTATATTATCAGATAATAATAATTTAGATAATATTATCTAATAATATTCTTTCAGATTATCTTGGTGTGTCCAGTGACGTGCTTGGCAGTGCCATGGGTACACCATGCCTGTTGTCCCCTGGGAGAATGTGTATATGGGTTCCAGCTGCTGTGTGCTCACTGTCCTGCATAGGACATGCACCTTTACGCCTCGGGGCCTCACCCCTGTGACTGTATCAGTACCTGTCAGCTGTCTCAGTTGTCACTGCATTAGTGGAGCATGTTTGACCTGGGTTACCTGCCCTTCTGGGTTCCCACTGTGCTCTTTCCACTAGCCACAAGTGTGTTTAGCCCACCGGCAACTTCCCTACAAGCTCTGATTGAAGTGGACCAAATGCTTTAAGCAGCCTCCAGCCTCCTGTTGGCTTGATTTAGCCAGACTGTCTCTTGATGATGGCTAATCACACAGCACAGTCCTTGGTAAGCAGCTGTGAATCCCAGACAATGCTGCTCTGGGAATGAGGTGAACAAAACTCCAATGGGACAATGCGTAGAAAGGAAAAGGGATTTGTGTTGTAGTTGTCTAAGTAAACTGACTGGCTACAGAACTCCAGATTCTGTCTGACTGGCATCCAAGTGCTGCCTTTTGGAGAGATACCAGTAATCCCTAGTCTGTCATCTTCTTGCTTACCTTGTCCTATGTGAACTGTAGGCAAGGTCGCTCCTCCACTGGTGTGTTTCCTTGTTTGGAGTGTCTCACAGCCACAGTTTATCTCCCTGTGAGGAGAGCAGGGAGGAGATGGCTTCTGTGTGTGCTGTAATCAGGCTGCTGCACCCCCATGTGTGGGAGTGCAGGCATTGTTTGCTTTAGTGTGAGCTATGCCATCCCTCTGCACACACCCACTGTATTGCCGAATGACAGAATCACAGGATGGCTTCTATTGGAAGGGATCTTAAAGTTCATCTGAAGCCTTCTCCAGGCTAAGCACCCCAGCTCTCACATCCTGTCTGCTCCAACCCTTGGAGCATCTCCATGGCCTCCTCTAGACACTCTCCAGCAGCTCCACAGCCTTTCTGTGCTGGGCCCCAGGGCTAGAGGCTGCGCTGCAGGTGGGGTCTCACCTGGGCGGGGTACAGGGGCAGCATCTCCCCCTCCCCTGCTGTGCATGCTGTGGGATCAGCCCAGGGCATGTGAAGTTTCTGGGGGCCAGTGCAAACAGCTGGGACAGGTCCAGCTCTCATCCATCAGCACCCCCAATTTCTTCTTACTCAAGACTGTTCTCAGTCCATTCTCCTTGCAGAAAATGAGGTTTATTGAATGAATCTTAAGGTGGTATGTGCCTCTCATCAGCATTCCTGTTTGTCTAGGAGAGAGGCAAAAAGGGGAGTTCCTTTTATGTTGTTTCTTGCATACAAGGATCACATGCAGGGTAGGTTTTCCAAATGCTGGGTCCTATGTAATGTGTAGCACAGAATTGTCTTTTTTCCAGGCAAAATTTAGCAATTATCAGAGATAAAAGCGTTTCTGAGAGTAGTCCTTTCCCTTAGTCTTTGCAAGAAAATTACCTCTCTGGAACTCCTTTTTAAGCCTGAACTTAGTCTTGGTTTTGTGAGAACCTTTCTCTGAATCACATTACCAAGCAGAGTAGGTAGGGCCACAAGCATCCTTAGACTTTCCAGTTCCTTGCTGACTTCCTCACAGATCCTTCCTTCAAAAGTGCTTTTGCATAGTTTATCCCTGCTATTGTGCCAGTTTTGACTGTGACCTCTGAGCATGTTTAAGATGCCATGTCGGTCGGACCACTGTCTCAGGTAAGGCTTGATTTTTGTACATTTTTGTGTCCCCTTTGTACCCTTGTACACATCAGTGCAGCAAAGGCTCTCTGGAATTGTTGTCTTTGGGTGAATGCCTGACAATGTCTGTCTGTACCAAATGGCTGACAGCATCCTTGTCCCTGTATGTTTCAGCGGAAGAGAAGGCTCGTGAAGCGGAGAGCAAAGCCCGTGCCCTCGAGCTACGCCTCGGAGGGGATCTCACACGGGAGTCCAGGGTGAGCCTTGTGCTTTTGGCAGCATGTCATGTTTTGGGCACCAAGGGATATTCGTAGCACTGGTGGTGGAGTGATGCAGCACCCCATGGCAGCATGCTAGTTAAGCAGGTGGTGGCTCCAGTCAGCAGTGAACTTCCAGCAACATTTAGGCATCTCCACGGCTTCATCACCACTTGATGTATTTCACCATCTTCACGTGGTGTGCAGCCCAAGTGAGAAGTGTGTTAACATTCCCCTGCCTACATCCCCAATATATCCTGCGTGGGACGGTGACCTCCAGATTCCAGGTGCTGTTTGCTGACAGCCTCTGTGGAAGTGGCTATGCAGCTGTCTCTGTGGCATTTGGGCAGGGGCTTTTGGGGAGAGCCTCTTTGCTTCCTTCCAGTAGGACTTTGGCTTTGAGAGGGGCAAGGCTGAGCCCTGGTTCCAGGAGTTGAGAGGAGGGCTGGCAGGGACACCAGGAAGGTCAGCAAGTAACACCAGTTTAAAATCACTGAGCTTCCTATTGGTATGTCGCAGAAACAATAGTATCCAAGTGCCCTGGATGTTTTCTTGTGCTCCATTGCCACTGTTTTCAATTTCTGTAATCCTTTTTTTACATGTAGACATTTTCCTCCAAGCAACTGTGTAGATCCTTAAACAACTTAGCATAAGTTTGCCCAACATGTGGAGTCACACTGTCACTGTCTACCAGTTGTGACTTGTTTACATTTAAAACATTTCTCAGTTCTTCCTGAAAGAGCAGAAAATCATAAATTGAGTGAATTTTATGAATTTCCCAGCTTGACTATGCAATGCCTGTTTGCAGGTGACATTGCGTCAGGTCCAGAATTCAGCTATCACTATGCGGCGGGAGGCTGACGTCAAGAAAAGGATTCAGGATGCAAAGCAGCGGTGAGTGCAGGGCCTTCCAAACTCCGGGGTACCTAGGCTGTTTTCTCCAGTTTTGCATGTTTTCAGTTCAGCTCAAAGGGTAAATATCCATGGGCATCTTATATGCTTGAGCTTTATCATGGTTTGACACTGGCACAATGCCAGCACCCCCATGAAAATACAACCCCCCAAATAATTTGCTGTGAAATACGATCAGGAACAGAGCAGAGCAGACCCAAGCTTAATAACAAAGGAGAAACTTTATTAAACTACTACTACTATAAAAGGGAAAAGAAAGGAAAAAAACAAAATCCAAAAAAATGAAAACCTTCTAAAACATTCCTCCTCCCTCCCCCCAATTCCAAAACCGCAGTGAGACACAACTTGGACCCCCAATCAGGGAGTGCTTCAGATAATCAATACACAGTCCATCAAGGGAGAGAGGAATCTCTCCTGTGCTATAGACCCCCCAAGAAACACAACTGCCACTTCTTGTGTTTCCATGTCACACATAGCACCGCCCAGAGAAAATCTTTGGCATGGGGCTACCTCTTTTTCATGCACAGTGCTCTCACCACCAATGCATGGATGGACAGACTGCTCATAGGGTGGGGTTTTCTTTTCAAGGATGCTTTGCCAAGGACCAAAGAAAAACAATAGTTCAGTTTCTCATTTTTGGGACCACAGTCCTGTCCCACCCCCCCCATTTTCTTCCTCTCATGGGTCTCAAGAACAGAGATCATCTTCTTTCTGAAGACAGAAGGCATCACCACGCCCTCCTCAACTCTTTGTTCACTCCACTCCGGTGTTGGTAGTCACTGAAACAGGTCTTTTGGCTCACCAGACATCCCCCTAAAATGCAGTCTCTCTTGGAGGTATCGCCAGCTGGGGGCTATGTACAAATCACGAAGGGGACAGGACTGCTGTGGAATGCATCTCGAGCTGTTTATTTTTTAGCATCAGTCTCATTACATGATTATGACAATGGGAAGATGCCAGCACCTCACATCCAGGCAACAGACCAAGAACTTAATGTTACAACTTACTTTATAAACTTTTTGACCAATCACAAAAAGCAAAAGCATATTGACAGTAGTTCTATCCAACCACTATAAGCATATGTACCTTTGGTTAAAACAATGCTTGCTTATTTCAAATACAGTACTTGCTTGTAAGCCTCAGGATATAATGCACAGAGCTCCATTATTAAGCTTAGACCTTCCTAATATCTCACCAGAGATACTTTTCTGCAACTTAGGAAGTTGTTCTATCCAAGCGTTAATACACTGTTCTATTTGTCCTTTCTTTCTACTTGTATAATTTTTCTGTTGACAACTCTAATAGCTACTGCTTAGCTCTAATCACCATCCTGCTGTCTCTGAGGCCTGCCTTTTGCAATGAGTTCAAAACCCTCTGATTTTAAGGAATCCCACAGGAGGAGAAAATTGGTTCAGTCTATGGTTAACAAGAAAAAGTCCAGCCAAAAGCTACTCCATCATCTCCTCCCACCTAGAATTTCTCCTTCTTCTGTCTCTCTTCTTCTCTTTCAAATCAAAGAGGAGTAATATTTCACAAAGCTTTCATTATGCAAGAAGGGGTTAAAAGTCCACTCTAGCTCCCACAGCTGGGCGCCTTCCTTTGACACGCCCCCCCCCTTCTCCTTCCCTGAAGTGTATTGCTGACAGACCTTCTCTCTCTCTCTCTCTCTCACTCTCTCTCTCTCTCTCCCTCTCTCCCTCTCTCCCTCTCTGGGGGGGAATGCAGACATCCCGGATTTCCCTCCACCCTTCAGCCTTACCTCAGTCAGGCCACAGGACTTCCCCTCCTTCACCCAGCCAGGGTCCGGGCAGGGGAGAGTCTGCACTGCACCCTGACCGGAGCCAAAGAGAGAGAGTTCCCCTGGGAGCTCTGGCTTTTAACCCCTCTGTGTTCTCAGAGGCGTGTCCACCTTCAATTGGTCAGCCCAAATGCCAATATCCAACCCCAATCACTGACTGACTTGACCGTCTTCTTTCCGACAAAATTCTCTTCCATGTCAAACCACGACAGGCTTTAAACTGAGCAGCTGGGACACTATTCTGGTTACCTCTGGTATTCCCCTGTTGCCTGCTGGAAGACGTAGATCTCTGGACTGGGTTTTTTTTCTCTAAATGCTTACCTGGTTTTCACATCAGTTTTTTTCAGTCTTGCTTTTTCATCTGCAGATAAGATTCAGGCTGATGAACAAATGTTCGCAAGTTACAATGAAACAGCTTTAGGAATTTTAGGGATGCTTTCTAAGAACAGGCTGAGTTTTGTTGTAGTCAGTGCTGTGAAATCCCAAGGCACTCTTCTAGCTTAGCTCTGGTGGCAGTTAACTTTGGTTTTTGATGTACTCACAGGAATACTTCACTCTTCATATATGTTTGTTTTGTGTTTCTCAAATGAAGTGAAAACCAGGAACAAATGCTCTTAAAACAAATGCTGAGTTTGAGGAAGCTGGGGATTTGGATACAGAATATCTCCATTCCCACCTATGTGTGTGCATGCCCATTTACATGGCGTCCTAGGTCAGAGCTATCCCAGACTTGTTGCCAGAGATAGATCTAATGCATCTTAAGATGCTGAAAAGAAATAAATAAATACAGCTTTAATTTAAAAGTGGTAGAGCTAGGATCTGAATGATACAGAAGCTTGTGAGAGAACCTCCTTCCTTCAGCTTCCACATATTTTTCTATCTACACCTTTGTTCTTTAATTCTTGGGTTTGGTGACATTAGCGTGCAATGAAAAATTTTGTGAATAGTCTTCTCCCCTTCCTGCCCATGGGCAAAATACTTCCTGTTACTGAGCTGACCAGCAAAAAAATGCTCTGGGCATGTACATGGCTTGCTGTGTGTCCCTGCATTCATCACTAGTGATCAGCAGCAGTTCAGAGGTTCATGCTTTTCCACAGAATTGTATTTCATTCAGAAAACTGAAAAAAATCCTGAAAGATGTGTATAATAGGATAGCTTCTGTACTAACCAATCCCTGTTGTCTTTTGGAAAATTCTTGAGTTACAGAGGATGTCCTAGGACAGTTTTTCTGCTGTTTCCCTGATGCTGGGTGCATCAATGAAAGAAGTGCTTTCTGGTTTCCAAAAGCTGTGTAAGATCAGGTTGGATCTGATTCCAGACAATAGGACAGGTACTAAATTCCTAGTAATTAAATCCCTGGCTTTTGACCCACCACATCATTTTCTATGGTTTAGATGATAATTTTACTTCCTGTCCTCTCTGATGAAAATGAGGATATGTCCTTGTCCTTTTTGTTTTGTAGGTGAGTACATGCTGTTACTTGAAGTGTAAGGCTCTACATTCTTTTCCAGAAGTTAGGAAAAAAAAATTAATCCCTGACATGGGTGTTTTGCCACACTTGCTCATGTTCTTGAATCACAGTTTTCTACCTCAGTGAGCTGAGACCAAATGGTCACATTTCAGCCCAGCAATTGGCAGTGTTCAAAACCCCTCTTGGCAAAGGTTTAGATTTAAAATTACTAAAAGCTGCTATTTCAGATGTTTTCCTACGAATGTATTACAGTCAACTGTTTTAAATGAAGTTGTGTCACAGGGTACCATTGCATCTGTGTGAGGAAAGATGGCCTTAAAGAAAAAACTAATATGAATTTTATTTATTTATGGGATTTATTTTGCAAAGTTTCACTATTAAGATAGATTCAGATCTCATATTTGCAGGTGATCATTGTGTAGGGTTCATGCACGCATGGCTCAGGTCTTCCTAATATTTGATATTAGTAGATAGTCAACAGAACATTTTAAAGAATTCCACTATCTTCAGCTAACCATTTAAGCAGAAGTCAGATTTCTCATTAAGATAAAGTACATTACTGCAAAGGACTTATGGGGGCAGGTGGGGAATATAAAGCAGGTCAAAACTGAGAGGGGTGGGCAGGACCGTGGTATAGGCTCTGCCTTGCAGTAGTTACTGGTTTGGACCTCACATTTGAGGATACCTTCATCCTGAGGCTGAGGATCATTCTTATGAAAAATACTCAGCAAGGGTATCTGTGGGAACTCAAAATGTCTCTCAAACATTTTTAGAGGTTCCAGGCCTTGGTCAGAGGCATTCTAGACCCTGGCAAAGAGCTGGAAACAGCTGTGATTTTGAGTTTGAGCCATGGAATGAATTGCCAACTTTGGAGGTGGAACAAGTAGTCACAAAAGGTTAGATAGTATAGTAAAAGTAGTTACAAAGTAGAGGGGAAATTTTTTTAGTATTGTACAGGGGGCTTTTCACTTTGTACATGGGGGTCAGAAGTTCTAAGATGGAGGAAAGTGGGCTGATCCTGTTCTTCCTCCTTCTTTTTCCTTACCTCCATGTTCTTGGTGATGTTGGCACTCACAGATTGGTTTAGAGTAGAAAAACACTTGGCAACGTAGGTAGTAGGTATTGGGGAATAATTGTAAACATGTAATACGTAATATATCATATAAAAGATAGCAGCAGCCCTGGGCGGGGGGAGAGACGAAGAAGACAGCAGATAGAGAGGATGTCAGGGTGTGTGTGTGCCTCTACCCAGGCCGCTGATCAAATAGCCGCAGTCCAAGAACATAATCTGTTAGATAACTAGCAATAAACTGCCTTGAGACCGAACAGCTAAAGCCTGTGGAGTTTTTCTTTGGAAGCACGGGTTGGAGGAGNGTAATATATCATATAAAAGATAGCAGCAGCCCTGGGCGGGGGGAGAGACGAAGAAGACAGCAGATAGAGAGGATGTCAGGGTGTGTGTGTGCCTCTACCCAGGCCGCTGATCAAATAGCCGCAGTCCAAGAACATAATCTGTTAGATAACTAGCAATAAACTGCCTTGAGACCGAACAGCTAAAGCCTGTGGAGTTTTTCTTTGGAAGCACAGGTTGGAGGAGGAATTTCACCACCATATGAGACCCCAGAGCAAGGCCGGGGTTCTCACAGGTATCAGAGAAGCTGTGGAACCTGATGAATTTAGTATGTTGAAGGGCAGGGCTTGTTTGTGAGACACAGGGATTTTGATTGATTTATAGCACAAAGTGATAAAAATCTCACGGGTTTTGGCTGTCATGGAGATAAAATTCCTGGTAACCAGAGATTCAGATTGAGAAATCTCTATGGGTTCACAAACATACTCAAGTCCAACTTTTGTTGGAGTCATCTGATGCATAGATAAGGGAGAAATCATGCAAATTGATATCCTGACATTCCAATAAAAAATGCTCTGCTTGTGCTGTATGTTGTATCCTCCAGCTTTTGAACTTAAGGAGCAGCATTGTGAAATTTGGAATTAGGAAAACTTTCTAGAATCAGAATATCAAGACTGTAGTTTTGTATTGAAATCTGAATTTTCATGCTTTATCTAGAAAGGGATATATAGCTGGAAAATACAAACCAAAATAGCATGGGAAAGGACCAGTCTGGATGCAGCAGTGCTCTCATAAAACTAATTCACTGAATAAAAACATCAGAAGTAAAAACCAGAATCTGTTCTGAAGGAGAACAAATGAAAAATTATCTGTCCAGCCTAAATTAGTATCTGTATTGCAAAGTTTTTGTATTTTGTTCATATTCGGTTGTAATGCTCTTTCAGCAAATGTTTTGTATTTTTCAGAAGTAGCAGTTTACCAGATTAATTTAATGCTCAAGAGTGCTGGATTTCCATATCCTCTCTCTTAACAGTAGAAAATAGTATGCTTTATTTTCAGCATCCCTAGAGGCTCTGCTTTGTCCCCTGCAGGGCACTGAAGGAACCCAAGGAGCTGAATTTTATCTTTGGGGTGAACATTGAGCAACGCAACCTGGATGGCATGTTCATTTACAACTGCAGTCGGCTGATCAAGATGTATGAGAAGGCGGGCCCACAGCTGGAGGGCGGCATGTGAGTTCTGCAGATTTTTCTGTAATCTTTTTGCTTAAGCTTGGCACATTTCTGTATCTGACTTAGGCTGTACAATAACCATGTTTTGCATTAACCATTCTTTGTGAGTCTGAGGCCTGCTCATTTTTTCATCCTTCAGTTTGTATTCTGTCAAATAAATTATATTTAGTACTGCCTACTATTTCGCTGGTTTCTTGATAAAGAGTTCTTTACACAAATTGTAGTCATCCCTGCAGCAGTATGGGGTGCTTGGCATTTGGTGCTGATAAGTGCTGCTAGTACTAGTGCCTCATTCTAGAGACAGGCAAAATAGATCTTGACAGCAAGTACAAATATTTGAGCCCATCCTACATTTTGCATGACACTTCAGGTTTCCAGCCTGTCAGTTTAATCTGTGTCCCTCTGTGTCACTCTGTATCCCTCTTCCAGGGCATGTGGAGGAGTGGTAGGAGTGGTGGATGTGCCCTATTTGGTTCTGGAGCCAACCCATAATAAACAAGACTTTGCTGATGCCAAGGAGTATCGACATTTGCTGAAGGCCATGGGAGAGCATTTGGCTCAGTATTGGAAGGATATTGCAATAGGTAATGAAGCTTCACAATTACCAGGGTCTGGAAGGAGAAATTTGGGTGTCTGCATGACAGCCAAGAGTGCAGATGGTGATTTTGTGATAAAAGCTCTGTATTGAGCAGGATGTGGTTTGTTTTCCAGCCCAGAGAGGTATCATCAAGTTCTGGGATGAATTTGGTTATTTATCAGCAAACTGGAACCAGCCTCCGTCTAGTGATCTGCGCTACAAGCGTAGGAGAGCCATGGAGATCCCTACCACAATTCAGTGTGGTGCGTCTGATCTGGCTGCTTCTCTCTGGGGAAGGGGAGGGACACTCCTGGCTGCAGATGGGGACAGATTTGGGATAGACTATCATTATCCTTTCCTAGGGCCTGTCTCCTCTGCAGTTTGCCTTTGTCTGCACTCAGTGATATTCTGTGACATCCTGGTGTAAGGCTCCTTTCATGCTCAGTTTACTAACCTATCTTCAGGTGCCAGACAGTAACAGTGTTGAGAGCAGGCTTCAAAATGTCATACAAACTGGAACTTACCAAAGGCACCCATCCCAGCACCAGAATAAGATCTGAAACATCCTCACAGGCAATGAGAAGTGGCCAAGTAATTTGTACCCTGATGCACTGGCCTGCACTATGACAGCACAGAGGGAAACCTTTACAATTACCTTGGAATTTAATGCAAGTTCTCTTCCGTACACCTCTAAACAGCTCTGGCTAAGCTCTTGTTAGAGTAATGGGAAGCTCCACACCATCACTTTGTCACCTGGTAGAGGGACACTAAACTCCTTTATTTTCTCCCTGGGACTTGAGGATGTGGTTGTAGGAAGGAATGTGAGGGCCATTCTTGTGGAATTATTTGTTAGGCTCTTCTGCCTTGATGGTTGTCTCAGTCTTTTCAAGGTTCTTCTGAAGGAGGAGGGGGTTTGCTCTCCTTCTTGTCTTCCCTTATTGATATCCTTCCAGAGCCTGATCTAAGGACGTTTGGATTTTCTTGGCAGAACTTTATTTTTTGAAGCTGATGGTTTCCTGGTAGGCTAGCAATACTCAGGAAGACAAATTTGTGTTCCTGATTCATCAAAAATTTAATAGAATATTTTTTAAGTGGATATGTCTGTGATTTGTGTTACTTTGGTATCATTACAGGACAGCCTGACTGCTGGGCTGAGCTGTGATGTCTGGACTGGCTGTTTAATTCAGTTTGTATATGTCACAGTTGCAGCAGGAGTGTGAGGTGCTCTGGTGTTGGTTAAAGCCAGCCATTCTTGTTAGGGTTGTCTTTGAGGGTTTCATTCAAGTGTTTTGTGAGCATGAAGAAATAATTGGCAATATATTCTGTTACTGTCTCACTTTTTTTTTTTTTTGGCCACTAGTCTTACTGTTGTTGGATACACTTCGGTGTGGTGCTTAAATGGGCTATGGGAAAACACGGGCTATGGGAAAACTTATTTGTCTCAGGCTGTGTATTTCTGACTTGCAAAGTGTCTGTGTGACAGATGTCTGTCTGAAGTGGCGGACTCTCCCATTCCAGCTGAGCTCAGTGGAGAAAAATTACCCTGACAACTGGGTGTGCTCCATGAACCCTGATCCTGAGCAAGACAGGTAAGAATCAGTAAATATTAAGACTTTTCTGCAAGATGCTTTATCTGCGCATTTGGAGCTTTCTTCTGGTCGTTCTTTGAAAACAGTTGGGGGGATTCTGTACCTTTAAGTGGTGCTCACGATCTGTGAAAAGGCAGCAATGGCAGTTGTATAGGGAGCAGAATATTGTGTGGGTGTGCAAATTTGCAATGTGCAAATTGCAGAGGACATTGTGTCTGCAAGTGACAGGTGACACCAAACTGGGAGGAGCAGCTGACAAACCAGGCAGTCACAGATCCCTCCAGAGGGACCTGCAGGCTGGAGAAATGAGCGACCAGAAACCTATCCTGACATTCAACCAGGAAAATGCGAAGTCCTGTCCTTGGGGAGGATGGCCCCAGCGCTGGTGTGTGCTGTCCATCCCAGAGCTGATCAGCCTCAGGGCGTTCTCATCAGTGTATACAAACATATAAAGGCAAGCTGCAAAGAGGTCAGAGCCTGTCTCTTCCCAGTGGTGCCCAGTGGCAGGACAAGACACCAGGGGCACAAACTGGAATGCTAGAGGGTCCCTCTGCACATCAGAAATACTTTTTTCCCTGTGAGGGTGACCAAATCCTGGCCCAGGTTTCTCAGGGACATTTTTCAGTCTCCATCCTTGGAGATATTCCAGGACGTGGTCCTGGACTTCTGGTGCTGGCTGGCCCTGCCTGAGCAGGGTGGAACCAGACCCCAGTTCATTCACTTGCCTGTAGTCACAGTAGCTGGTAGACCTCAGAGCCACATGGGTATTGTAAAAATGCAGCGACCCAGGAAAGGGAAGAAATGATGATGTCTGGCTCCAGATCACAAGGCTGAAGGATAGCTTTATTAAAACTATACTATATTACATTAATATACTATTTAAAGAGATACTATACTATTCTACATTCTTACTTCTTACTTACCTAACTACCAAAACTCGTGACTTCTCTGCTGAGAGTCCGAGACACAGCTGGATCCAATTGGTCATGGAACCCAAACAACCTTCACTGTAATCCAATCAAGCAATCACTTCAGGTAAACAATCTCAATACCACATTCCACATGGGAAAAACAAAGGAGCAGAGATAAAGATTGTTTTCTCTTCTTCTCTCTGTGCTTTTTCTGAGAGACGGAATTATGTCTCTCTGTCCAGAGAATGTGAATGTCACACAGGGTCAGTGGGACCAGTGGTCCTGCTGCAGCTGCTGGCACTTGCACCCCAGTACACAGGTGTGCATGCGGAACAGAGTCCCTTGCCTAGGAAAGGGGGAGACGTGGAGATTAGTACACAGAGGTGTACTGACCAGCCAAAGGTTTATGAACAATTGACCCTTGTTATAGTCTATTTTTCCCCTATTTATTCTTCCCAAATAATCTCAGTCCTTTCCTTTACTTTGCTTTTGGTTCCTCGTGTTAGTCCAAAAGAAGTTTCAGAGGGCTGCCCCCATTGATCAGATACCAGGTCTGAGGCAGCTGTAGGACAGTCTTGGCAGGACCCCAAAAGGGGTTTCTATTCCTCTGAACAGATTTGCATTCCACAATTCCCAAAAAGCCCAGTTCACATCCCCTTAGCTGCCTTTGGGCCTCTGGGCTTGTGGAAATGGACCCTAGATGGGCTGGTAGCTTCTGGGATGGCAGTTCCTGGGATGGCCTGAGGGTAGCCATGGAAGGGTATTATTCAGGGCTCTTCACCTGCCATTATATTCCTGCACTTCTGTCTGCAGATGGAGTCTTCATTGTATTACCTAGCAGCAACTTGATTTCCTGATGAAACAATTTAGATTTTTTTATTTGCAATACCTTGATAACTGGGGGTAGGTGGCTGCTTTTCATGTGAGAACATGTTGAGGCGTTGTTTGGAGTGGGTCTGAGTACCTCCACACTGCATTCTGTGCCATCCTACATCCCCCATGCAGGAAGCTGGGAAAGGGCAGGTGGGGCACTTGGCACTGGTGAGCCAAACTTCTGGTCATTTTAGCTTCAAAAGTGATCTCAGGAGTCTTACTCTGGGAGAATAAATAACTCCAGGACATTTTTTGATTAAGTAGGCTTATATGTGCTTTCCAGCAGCGAGTGCAGTTGTGTCATTTATATGAAGCAGAAGTTTCTCCAGCACTCCTCTGGCTTTTGGCTGGGGCAAATTCCAAGTGCTTCACTGCTGGGTCCTCGTGCAGAGTTTGGACACCTTCCTATCTGTGTCGTGACCCTTACAGGTATTTGTAGTGTCTGAAAGATGACAGGATTTGAGAAGCACATGGGTGGCATCCTCAAGGTTGTGTACTGTGAGGCTTTGTGCAGAGTCTCATCCAGCCAAATTGGAAACAAAGCAATGTCAGAGCAATATCAGGTGTTGAGACTCTCCTGGCATCAGAGATCATATGATAGTTTTGGCTGCCTTGGCACAGTGTCTACTATTGACACTGAGCTGTTCCCCGCCTTTCTGGTTTGTCCACCTACACTTCAGTGTCTGCTTATGGCATGGTGTTCCATGGGAACTGAATGCCCTTCTCAGTTTGTATCATGGGAAGCAGTCACTCCCTCCAGTGCCACTGCCTGTGTTGAGGTCAGCACCAGGTGCCACCATCGCTCACTTTGTTACAGAGAAGGCAGTGTCCCTGTTTCACAGTGTGAAATAACATCAGGCTTGCTTGCCTCCATTCTCCTATCTGATACCCAGTTGGATCCCAGATGTTGTTTGAATGGGTGGCTGAAGCACCAGCTGAAGATGACTGTGTGTCTCAAAGCTCCTTGAGCACTATCAGAATCTTGGTTTTAGTCCATTGTGACTACCAATATAATACATTTGTTCTGATTTGCTGCCTTCAGTGATGCAGTCTCTGGGTTTGGATGCCATGAATTTTTCTTCAGAACTCAAGGTGCTTTTGTTCTTTACTGTGCTGTAAGACACAGCTTGGCAATGCTTACAGCCTTGCTGCGAGCTGGAAGATGCATTTCTGTGCTGGGAAGCCTGTTTATGGTGCCACTTGTTCAACTTTATCTTTGGGAACTGCAGTTTTCGTGTCAGGCAGTCATTTTGCAGTGATGACACACACTTCCTTAGCCAAGGAAGTAACCACTCTATGGAATGTGCTTCAGCAGGGCAGAGGCTGATGGAGAAACTGCTGCTTGTGCTCCTTCTCACTCAAAAAGCTTGATTAGTGTGTATCTAGATAGAGATCTTTTTAGAATCATTTCTCTCCAGCTTCTTGGAGCTTTGAGTGCTCTACAGTGAGAGCAGGGTTCTCCCTTTACTAGTAAGACTCACATTCTGCAGGTTACCAGCTTGTTTCCAGTGCAGAGTGAGATCTGCTGGATCTCTTGTGTTGTAAAAGGGCTATCTGCTGCTTTCTGGCTCAAATCATTGTTCCATGACTTTACCTCAGCAGCACTGATCCTTGTCTGTCTTTCCATGATTCTGTTTGGTGATAGGAGATGAGCCTGGGCTCAGTCCCCTCTTCCTTCTCTGGCAATGCTCCTGAGGGCTAGCTGCTCGTCCAGCACTTCAGAGGTGATGCCAGTCCATTTGAGAGAGTACTTCCTATCTCTATTTTCCTTCTTTCTCAAGGACTCTTCTATGATTCTGCACTTGAGAGGACCTGGGAGAGTAGGATGCTCACCACTGTTGTATGCCATAGGCTGAACAGCTACAGGAAAGCAAAGGACGAGGCAAATAGCTACAGGATATTGCAAAGGACACTGTCTGGCCTTGAATGGCAAGGCAGAAGGTATCTGAGACTGGAAGGCTTGTGGTAACATCTTAGTCATGGGTTTCTGGTACTGTGCGTTCCTTTATGAAGGGAAAGAAGTTTGTAGAAAGAAGAACTGATGTGAAGAAATAAGATGATAGGAAGGAAAATTGCTGAAAAATCTGGAATACAGATGCAGTACAGAAGCTGTAAAAACTGTCACAGTTCCTGGGCCCTGAATTGGTGATTCCCAGCATAAATGCCTTTTTATTAGCAGCCATGCTTTTCATCCTTAATTCATATCTGTTTTCCAAGATGAAAACCACTGCTTTTGAGATGTGGCTACTGCAGAAAAGCAAGTGGCTTTCCTGCTGCATTTGGAATGGGATGTTGGGATAATTGTGCATGACATTATACAGGTTCTGCTGTCCTTCCTGAGGCTGTCTTGCATTCCCTCCATGCTAGATGTGAGGCTGCAGAGCAGAAGCAGAAGGTACCACTGGGAACTCTAAAAAAAGACTTGAAATCAAATGAGGAAAAGCAGAAACAACTGACAGAGAAAATACTCCAGCAGCAGAAAAAGCTAGAAGCTCTGCAGGTGAGTCTGGAGGTCTCCAGCTAAGCAGAGCAGGTGTGATGGATTTCCTAGTGCTGACTCTGAAATCAGCTATGCTCCTTCGTGGGACTGGGGCTGTTCTAATAACAGAAATGGACCATCTCAACTTGTATTTAATTTTCTGTTGGGAAAATGGAAATTACAGCTGAAGGGAGGTATCTTGAAGGACACAAAACACACCATATAATTGTTGGTTTTAGCCTGGAAAACTACTGGAATGGGTTCAGGCAGCCCCTGGCAGCTTGTAAACATGAACTTTCTGAATATATATATATATATATATATATATATATATTTTTTTTTTTTTTTTTTTTTTTTTTTTTTTTTTTTTTTTTTTTTTTTTTTTTTTTTTTTTTTTTTTTTTTTTTTTTTGGGTAGAAAAGCACTCCAATTCTATCTCAGACTGACTTAAAGAAACTGCCTCTGGAAGTGACTACACGGCCTTCAAGGGAGGTAAATGGGGTTCTGCTATAGGCTTTTTACTTTTTTGTACTTCTTTTGCTGTTCTGAAGAGCAGTTCCCCTCTCTTCTACCCTTCCTCTCTCTCTACCCTCCTTTGTTTCAGCACACCCGAACTCAGCGCCCACGATCTCCTCCTTTGCCTAATGTAATCAAGAATGCTCCCAGCAGGCCACCAGGATCTTCACCTCCTCACAAATCCTGCACTCAGCTGAAAAAGAGCTCTTCAGATCGTCCAAATACCAGCTCCCCCAAGCTAGCCAGCATGCTCTTCAAGGAGGAGGCCAGCACTTCCAGGACACACCATCGCACTGTGACAGCTGGAAAGTCTAACAGCACTTTAAAAACTCTTGCTAAACAAAGTACAAGCATGAAGTCGCTCTCTGGCCTGCAGAGCCCCAAAAGCTCACGTCAGACACCCAATCCAAAAGTAGTCAAGGTGCCAACAGTAAGGAAATCTGCCTCTGGCAGATGTTTACAGGTAAGAGTCAATGGGATAAAACCCCTCAGCTCCTCACCCACTGTCCTGTAAGCCTGTCTGTTCTGTCTTGTGATACGTGCACTGTGGGCACTGCTCAGGACAAGAGAACTTCTACTTTACTCTTTGGTTAGGGTGCCATTTACACCCATTGAGAAGACTGGTCTCGTCTCTTTCCTGTTAGACCAGATGGTTCCCCCAGGGGGAAAAAAGTGTGCAGAGTGGTGGGGGGGTGAGTGTTTGCATGATGATGTAGTACCTCTAAAGCCTTCCAGAAAAGCTCATTAACTACCAAATTAAATACTAGATGTTGGGTTTGTTTTTGGTTTGTGGTTTGTTTTTTTTTTTTTTTTTTTCAACTTGGCTGCATGTCGTGGTTTGACGCGGGAAAAGAATTTTCTTGGAAGGAAGAGGTCATTCCAATCAGGGGTCAGGTTTGGATACTGACACTTGGAGTGACCAATTGAAGGTGGACACATCTCTGAGAGCACAGAGGGGTTAAAAGCAGAACTCCCAGGAGAACTCGCTCTCTTTGGTTCCGGTCATCAGAGGGTACAGACCTCCCCTGCCCAGCCACAGGCTGGGTGGGGAAGGGGAAGCCATGTGGCCTGCAGAGGTAGGCCAGGGGATGAAGGGTCTGGAACCGAGCTAGGCCAGTTCCTGCAGATGGAAGGGTGGAGAACGTCTGAGATGTCTTTGTTGCCCCCCCAACCTAGGGGGAAAAGAGAGAGCCTGCAGACACCCGGGAGTTTGCCGGCAGAGGAGAAGGAGGGGAGGGGCAGGGGGAGATGCCCAGCATGGGAGACAGCACAGCATCCTGGGCCAGAGATTTCAGCCGTCCGGGGAGTCTGGGAATTTTAACCCTTTCCTGAGAAATGAAGGCTTTGTGAAATATTGCTCCTCCTCAATTTGAAGGAAAGAGAGACAGCCAGGGACCTTAGTTGTTAGGGAAAGAAGGTTGGGGGGAAATGATCGAGTGGCTGTTGGCTGGACTCTTCTTGTTAACCATAGACTGAACCAACTTCTCCTCCAAGAGAGACTGCATTTTAGGGGGATGCAATGGTGAGCCAAGAGACTCCTTCAGCAACTACCAGTTCAGGAATGAACAGAGAAAAGCAGAGGAGGGTGTGAGGATGCCCTCCGTCTTCAGAGAAGAAGAGAAGGCGATCTCTGTTCTTGGATCCCCGGCCCCAGGAAAATGGGGGGGACTGTAGTCCCAAAATGAGACACTGGACTGTTGTTCCTGTTGGTCCTTGGCAAAGCATCCTTAAAGGAGCCCTATAAGCAGTCTCTGAAGCAGTCTCTGTCCATGCACGGTGGTGAGAGCACTGTGACATGGAGAGGAGAGTGTCACACTGGCAGATTCTGGGCGCTGCCATGTGTGACATGGAAACACAAGAGGTGGCAGCCTTGTTTCCTGGGGGGTCTATGGTGCAAGGGAGACTCCTCTCTCCCCTGATGGACTCAGTATTGATTATGTGGAAGGATGAAGACTGGATTAAGGGTCCAAATGTGTCTTTCTGTGATTTATTGGTGTTGGGTTGGGGGAGGAGGAATGTTTTGAAAGGTTTTCATTTCAAATTTTGTGTGGTTTTTTTTCCCTTTATAGTAGTAGTAGTAGTAGTAGTAGTAGTAGTAGTAGTAGTAGTGTAACAAAGTTTTCCCCTTGTTATTAAGTTTGGCCTGCTTTGCTGTTCTAGATTTTATTTTACAACATTCAATTGATAGGTTACATTTTCATGGGGGTGCTGGCATTGTGCCAGTGTCAAATCATGACACTGCAAGAAGGTTTTGTTTGGAATCAGGCTGGAATTAATAGCTAGAGCTTGTTTGCTTCCTTCAGGCCTCCAGCACTCGAAAGAGGGCCTTGAACATCCTAGAGGATGGGTCTGAGGAGGAGGGTGAGCCCAAAAAGGAGAGGACAAAACGAGGAAAATTTTCGGCAGTGAAAGAAGAGAAAGATTCCAATGAGGTGGTGGTGGAGGTAAGAGTGTGCTGGTTTCCCCAGCAGGAGGTATTTGTCAGGTGTTTATAATCTTGATGGGAGGCAACTAATGAGAGCTCTCTCTGCTCCCAGCTCACAGACAGTGCTGGCGAGGAAGAGTTGTTGGAACTGAAGAAAGCACAGAAAGGTGAGAAATGGGCCCTTGGGCTGCCACTAGTATCTGACATAGAAAAGAACTGTTGCACCAGTTAAACGTGTGATTTAATGAATGAGATTTTTAAATAAAAAATAATGTAAATTTGAATTCCAAACCCCAAGATTACTCTAACTTGCATGAAACATTTTGGCTGAGAACCGTTTGATTAGACCAATGGCAATTGTGGCGTGGAAAGGTCTGTGATGTATGATTGTATCATGTTGTCAGGGATGGGGATGGGGCTGGGCTGCAGGGTGTAGCTGATGGCATGTTCATCCATCATGAGTGGATCATGCAGCCATGCCAGCTGCAAAATGCTCAGGACTGTATCCAGTATCTGCTGCACTGCTGTGAGAGAAGAGAGACTGGGAGACCCCAGGAAAGGTGATAGCTGGGGTGGTAGTGTACAATCTGCCAGAGCAGGGCATCTTTTCAGCATGCTTCCAGAGAGCTGTCTGGAAACTGGCTCACTAGGAACATGTAGCAAATTGTCCTAGAGTCCATACTGAGACTGTAAAGCCAATGTCAAACAGCTTAGAGTACAAGAGAAACCTTCTATCTGGAATTGCCAGCTCATTTCCATGCATCTTCATGTTTCTCAGCAGGAGCTGACCTGTGTACCCATTGTGTATTGATAGTGTCTGTACTGTTTGAGGGCATTGTCACAGGTTCAGGCATGCTCCCTGCTGAGGTGCCTGAATCTCTAGAGCTCCTGTAGAATGTGCTTTCCAGCAGCTGAATGTTTGCAAATACCTTTGCTTCCCCCTCACAGATAAGGGGCTGCACGTGGAAGTGCGTGTGAACAAGGAATGGTTCACAGGCCGTGTTACGGCTGTGGAAAGGGTCAGGCATGCAATCCGGTGGAAGGTGAAGTTTGATTATGTCCCTACAGACACCACACCAAGGGATCGCTGGTAACTATCTTGGATTTTGGAGGCTTGGGTTTTTTTTGGGAGGAAGGGCCTGTTTTTTTGCCATAGATGCTGAAGACAAATATGCTGTTGTCATGTCAGGAAACATATGAGGTCAGGACTGTCCATGGCTTCATAAGGAATGGACATGACAGACTCCCATCAGTCTGTCACTGATGTCTGCCCTGGAGGCAGCTGATGTGTGTCTAGAGGTCTGTGTGACACTTGGGTACAGGTTCTGATGAAACTATTAACCATGTTTCAGGTATGTCCAATATGAAAAAAGATTCCTGACATTCCCTTAATACTTTTTTTCAGGGTAGAGAAGGGCAGTGAGGATGTAAGGCTTATGAAGCCTCCCTCTCCTGAATACCAGGCTCCAGACACACAGCAGGAAGAGGAGGCGGTCATGGCTGAACCTTCTACCTCAGATTGCGTCAGAATCGAGCCTGACACCACTGGTCCCAGCAGCAGCCAAGAAACAGTTGACTTGCTAGTCCAGATCCTTCGGTGGGTTCACTGCAGATCTTGTGAGCTCTGCAGTCTGATTGCTCCAGTCTGTTAAACTCTCAACTCTGGCTTTGCATTTTTTTTTCCTGCACAGGAATTGTTTGCGATACTTCTTGCCTCCAAGTTTTCCGATCTCCAAGAATGAGCTGAGTTCCATGAGCTCAGAAGGGTTGTTGGCATTTCCCTTGGTGAGTTCAGTACTTCTAGAAAAGTAAGTTTAACTGTTTTCCCCACACATATTCCATTCTTATGGCAAATGTGCATCTTGCTAGTGCAGGAGTGCACTCTTGAAAAGATACATTGAATCCTTGGCAGACTAACATAGCTGAGGAAAAGAATGAGAGCTCTGAGAGATGCCTTGATTCTTTTAAGAGTTGTCTGAGGATTTTTCTAATTAACATGCATGTGTGTGGGAATGCTGTTGGCTGCTACTATCTTAAATTCTTAACCATTGCTGTTAAACTTCTAAAAAAGAGAGACCAGGTTACAGGTTTGTATGAGGAGCTCCCAGCCTTATAATTTAACTAGAGACAATCTTAAAAATTATAAATAACAACAAATAATTATCCCCAGATTCATGCAATATTCTGAGTTGGAAGGAAGCCACAAGGGTCATTGAGTCCAACTCTTAGGTAAATGGCCCATACAGGGTTTGAACCCACAACGTTAGTGTGGATTCCATCCCTTTATTGGCCATTTACTTTAGTGTGAGAGGACATGGAAGCCAGCCCCTTCCCACTTACCCTGGAGAGCAGGTTGACTTCCAGCAAGTCAGCTGCACACCTTAAGACTTTCGATGTCTGTTTATTTGAGCACAGGACAGGTGGGACTGAGCTTCCACCAGCAGCCTGGTACTGGGAGGACCAGTGCTGGCTGGAATGAAGGGCAAGGGAACTGGCCTCTCTTACTTTTTATTCTCCAACATACCACCAAGAGAGACCTTTCCAAGGAGGCACATCTAAAAAGCCACCTGCAGATGAGCACATGACCAAAGCCAGTTCTGTTTTGCACTCCCAGACTCGCAGTGTGTGTATTGGCAGTCTCTCTCTTGTCTCCTCCACTTCTGTTAACTCAGGCATCTGCTGGCATTTGCTGGAGTTACCATTCCTGATTCTTCCATAGGACACCTTTGTTGTGTCTGGGGTTTTTGGTGAGTGTAGCTGTCCCTACCTTGCCCTGGGAGGCTGTGTTGTCTGGGTGATCTCTACCAAGGATACTCACAGTTTACAGGGGATATCAGGCCTGCAGCGTACCTGTGGGTTCTTGCTTTTTAAAGTACACTGCACCCTTAATCTAAATTCAGTCAGCTTTGGGGGCAGTTCTGGTATTGGAAGAATGTGAAAAGCTGTGTGAATTCTGTGCTGGCTGGTGTAGGCAAATCAGATGTAAATATGAGCATGGGCAGGGTGTGCAGGGACACACTGCAGGAAGGATTTGATCATGGGGTTCAGGAGTTTGGATCTTCTATAGCCTGTGAGTGCTCATGTTTTTGTGATGCTTGATGCTTTCTCTTAATGTGACATCTGTTGTGTTTTGTCTACTACAGAAAGAATATTTTAAGCAGTATGAGGTGGGTCTGCAGAATCTGTGCAATTCATATCAGACACGTGCCGATGCCCGGGCCAAAGCCTGTGAGGAAAACCTCCAGAACTTAGAAAGGAAGCTGAGGGAAACAGAAGAGAAACTGCAGAAGCTGAGGACTAATATCATGGCCCTTCTGCAGAAAGTGCAGGAGGTGGGTGAGGAGTAGCAGCAAACCATGAGCTATATCAGAGTAGCCACCTGGCTCATTCCCTCCAGGCATTACAAGTGTTTCAGTCCAGCATCTCACTGGGCTCCAGCTTCCTCAGTTGGGAGCAGCTTGGGCTGTCACTGCCCACACTTGGGATCCAGGCCCTGGAAGTCTGATGTATGTTAATTCTCACATAATGATTTCTCACTGTGTGGATGTAATGCACAGGTTCTGTTTGTTCTCTGCTGTGAGGCTGCTTGAGAATTTCCCCAGGCATAGGCAGTGCACATCAGGGAATTTTTGCCTCATTCTTGGGCAGATTCTGAACTCCACATACAGAAATGCAAACTTTTAAACAAACAATATAAAAAAGTATTGTGGTAAAATTGATGTATTAGTTATACTATGAAATTAAAATAGAAAATATATAATTAAAGCATTTAAATAAATAAACTAACTTTAAACTAAAAAACTACTTAAATAAAATCAGGATCAACCTGGAAAAGTTACTGAAAGCATCTGGAAGCAGTTTTTCCCTGTTAGGAAAACGTGCTAAATCTAAAAGAACCCCAACCAAACCTGCCTTGACCAGAATCAGTACAGTAAATCCATCACTTCAGTGAATTGTTTGAACATGAGGTGCTGATGGGTTTCCTGTGTTGTCTTTTGGATGCTGACAGGGAAAGTTAGGGGTGCTGCCACTACAGCTGTTAGCAGCTGGAGGGTGCTGGATGTTGGAGCACAGAGGTTGTGCAGGCCAGATGTAACAGAAGGTGCTAAGCTGCTCTGGCTCCTCTTTTCTTGCCATGTTCCTCATTATTCACTTCTCACTGGTATTCCTTGTTTCTTTGGTTTCAGGACATTGATATTAATACAGATGATGAACTGGATGCATATATTGAAGACTTGATCATGAAAGGAGACTGAGCAGCTCCAATACAAGTCCTAGAGAAGTGCAGAAGAGCTGGCTGCTGCAAAGGGAGATGTGGATCTCTGTGCAGGTGGAATGGGGCAGCTGATGAGGAGAGAGTTTCTTAGACAGTGCTCATGTTGTTGTACAACTTGTTCCTTTGACTTACATGAGAAGCATTTGTGCTGTTGGCAGGAAAATTTTTAACTTTGTAATTCTCTGAATCTCTTCCTTTTGTTTATAAATATTTATTTTTAAAAGAAATGGGAACCATGCCTGATACAATGGGTGTTTTTAGTGATGTAGAAGTGTGAGTACCCTTTTGCAACTCAAGTATGTTCATATGCTAAACCCGGGAGCTTGGACCACCCAGCTTAGCTTACTGGTTCTCCAGCAAGAACCTGGTAGCAATTAAAAAAATAAGCCTTGAGTTGTGGCAGAGGGGGGTCAGGATTTTTTGTGGAAGATACTGAACTTGAGGTCGAGAAAGCCAAGCCATGAATTGGAGCTATGGAAGATGTCCTTGTATGAGTGTGAGTAGAGGGATGGAACCTCAGTGAAACTCAGAAATTTGGGACTGGCACCTGCAGTGAGCTTCCTGAACAGGAGGTTGTTGCAAGTGGGTGAAACTGCCTCCATGGTAATAGTTAAGAGGCTGAGGGTCCTTCTAGAATAGGATCACCTTCTGAACTGCTCACAGTGGGCTGTGAGCATCAGAGGAAGAATGTTGGTACTTGGGTTCTCTGCTTGCAGTCACTTTATCACTCACTTTTGCTGCTGTTTCTTTGAGACATAATTACAGCATCAGAAGGACTCCTCCTCTGCCTGACAATAAAGTGACCCCTGTTCTTTTGTCACTCCCTCAGTGTTGCTTTGATCAATTTGTTCTACCAGGTAATTTTATTATTAGAGACTCCTAATTATTAAAAAGAGGCTATTTGGAGCCTTTGGGGCCCTACACCACTGATTGGCATCTGCCCTCTGCCTGCAGCAAGGAAGACACCTGCCCCTTATCCTCCAGCTGCAGCCAGCTCCTGGTAAGCCACTTGTGGCCAAGGGGACTCAGTCAGAGTTTGTCAGCTGGTCAGCAGCTTCTCAGACCTGATTGAGGACAATGTGTCTGTGGACTCATGTTCAGAAACTGGAGTCCCGTGCAAACCAGATGGTTGTAAATATGGTGTAAAGGAAGAGGTACCCACTATCAGGGAGGTCAGGTGGAATGGACCCTTGGGGTTGATACCTGGATGTGTAATAGATGTTTTGCAGCAAACCCTTCCAAATTAAATATCTGTTGCACCAAAAATCTTTGGTACTAATTGTTCATAGTCCTGAAGAACTCCCAAGTTTCTACACACCACAGAAGAGAGGAAAGGCTTTTGCTTATTACCTGATTCCAGGCGCTTGGCAGAGCACACAGTGAGACTGACTGCTTCCATCCAGAATCTGGGCCTGACATTCCACAATAAATAAAGGTAAGGAGTATTCCCCTATCCTCATACACCTTCCTGCACAGAGGGGCAGCATTCCTTAAGCAAAGGAACAGGCTCCACCAGTCTCCATTTCCTCATACGTACTGGAGGTTTTTTTGTTGTGATAATACACTGCAGTTTCTGATGAAAATAATCTGTCTGGAGAAGATGCATTTTTTATTGAGGTGAAAGAAGTCTTTGTCCTTCCCAGAAGACAGCAGATATTCTAAAGAAGGAGATTTTGTTATACTGCAGTTCAGAGCTGCTGCTGCATACAGACTTTAATTTCTGACACCCTGAGGGCACCGGTATGGAGCTAACTGTTCTTAAATACTTCCTCAGCTTCGTGGCACAGTTTGATTCCCTACTTCTCTCATGTTAGGAAAGTGCAATTGTTTTGAGGTTTGGTTTTTTCTCCTCTGTTCTGTGCAACTTCTCATTTCCAATTGTAGCTCTTGTTTTTAATGCATTTAATTTTTTTTTTTATCTTGTACCAAGGTTTTTTGCTAGGAACAGCAAGCCAAGAACTTTTAAGTACCAGTAAAACAAGTTTTTCCTTCTCAAACTCTTTTCGGGCAATGCTCTGCAGCTGCTTTTTTCTTGAATTTGTTTCTGTAAATTTGTTAAGCAAGTCTGTGTGTAACATCAGGTTTTAGTAATACCTCTAAAACCCACAGGCTCAGAATGCCTCCAGAGGGGATCCAAACTCCTGGCTCCAAGTGGGGTATACTCCAAAGCTTTATCAAGTGGTTCAGGGCATTTTCCTGTTGAGCTCTTAAAGTCAGGGGTGGAGACTGCCCCACAGCTCTGCACCACACACCACTCCCATGGGTGTTCTTCCTCTGTACCACAAAGGGATGTCTCTGTCAAATCTTGAAGGTCGTTCTAGCTGCCATCAAGAACCTGTCCCCTGCCTGTAAGCCTGTCATGACACCTCCGTCCTGCATTTAAGCCTCTTGATGTCTCAGATGTTCCCCTAAGTCTTCCTCTTTACTTTCAACTGTTTCTTCGAGCAGAAAGTTTCATTTTGCACATTACTCTTCCCCTCTCTATGGCCAGCTTAATCCCTGTTTTATGCATTGCATATTTGAAATTTCTCCCAGAGCTTTCAGCTGGGTAATTCATGCCAGCACACTTCTTCTGGTGAGGCTCCATTTTTCCTTCAAGCTCTCTGCCACATTCCCTTTGCATCTGCTTCCAAGAGCAGCAGGAACAGCAGATGATGGACGTTCTTGCCTGCGGGAAAGTAAAGACAGTGTGGCAGCGAGGGTCACTCTGGGAGAAACCAAGTGAGTCTGGGAAATTTGCCAATTCTTGATAGTTGCTGTGGACTAAAATGCTGTGGAAATGGAGAGGATGTCCTGTGTGCACAGCTCTGCAGAGGTGTAAAGTAACACTGATCTGGTTTGGATGGAGAACGCTGAGGGGTGTGTGCATGTAGTTTTGGAGGTGTTCATTGTCCCTGAGAGTTCCTCATTGGCCAGAGTTGCTTCTTATCAATGGAATGAGGAGGACTGTGTGGTTCCTGTCTTTTTGGAGCACTTATTGAAACACTTTTTATGTCTCAACCAGAGCTTTCACCTTGACTTGGTTTGAAAGACAGGTGTCTGCCAAGGAAGGCAGGAGCATCCCTTGGAATGGAGATTATTACCCCCTTCCCTCTGAATTATTTTAATTTTGAAATTAAGGTTCTTTCAGGCAAAGATATGGGCAAAGGAGCAGCAGTTCTTTACTAGCATGGATGCCAAGGCAAGCGAACAACACCTCTGGTATGAACCACAAACAGATGCAGAGACCCAGTCCCAGCCATTTCCCCTGGGTGCAGTTCCGGGCATGGCCAGCAGGGGCGCTGGTGGCTGCGGGCGGGCAGGGCGGATGCGCTGGTGCTACCGCGGCTGCGGGGGGCGCTGTGGCGCGGGCTCAGCCGTCTCACTCCCATTGTAACGGTGCAGACACTGCTGGAAGGGATGGGAAAGGGCTTGTTCCAAAAACCTCCAGGGGCATTCGATCCCAGTGCCCCAGCAGGAACCTTGGAACTGGCAAGCTGAAACAGCAGGAATGAGCTCACTCAGGATAGCAAGCAAGGCAGTAGAAACTCAACAGCTGTAGCAGGAGTTGCAGAGTGTCCTGGCAGGCAGGGGGTGTGAGGTTACTGTCTTGCAAAAACACCCTGCAGCAGTAGCCAAGGCACAGCAGGGGCTGAGAGCAGCAGACTGGCTCACAAACTGGGGTGGGAGAGGCTCCCTTGAGGGAAGGGGCTCAGGGATCCCAGGGTTTCCCCTGAGGCACCTCAGCAGATGGTGAAGGGTTCTGTGTTTGCTGAGGAAGGGTGCTAATAAGGCCTCAGTGCAACAGCCACTCTTATGAGCAGAGCTCCACTCAAAGGTAGGAGGCAGCAGAGTGGTTTCTGAGAAACTAGAGAGTGGGTTCTACTCCGAGAAACCCTCTTGGAGTAGAGGGTAAGAGAAGTGCAGCCAGGTGCCCTCCTCCCCTGAGCTTGGCAACTTCTTTTGTCTCTCTTAAGTACCAATCATTATATTTTCTTAGAGACAAATGGGACAAAATCCCATAAGAGAAAGAAAGAAAAAACACCAAACCCAAACACTCCCCCATTAGAGATGCAAGCAATTGCCATCACACAGAGCAGCTCCTGTGAGTACCAGTCTCAGTTTGGAGACAAATTCTGGGAGAAAAACACTCTAAAATTAGTGTTTTTCTCCAAAGAGAGAGGGCTTCAATAACTCCTCTTTCTTCTGCCAATGAGAGAAATGAATACTGGTATAAAATTTTGACAGCCAAACCGAATGGTATTTTTATATATTTTATTTTAAAGAAAGCAAGCAAACAGCGCTGGGTGGCCAGGGAGTCTCCGCTCCACTAATGGCACACGCCACTACAAGTTCACCAGAGTATATATACTGCTTTTAAGCCTACAAAGCATTTTCCAGTGTGCTTGTGTTAGTCCGAATCAGAAAGTATCAATAAGCTGGGATCAGCAATTTCATAATCTTTCCAGGTGATCATTGGCTTCCTGTCCTGCTTGTGGTTGTCTGGAAGGAGGCCTTTCACCCGTGTCTGCTACATAATTTTTGTCTGGTACTAGTGCCTCAAGCTTTTTATTATACATAAGCATTTAGTTGCTTTGTTGCAATATCCCTTAGCTTTACTACAACTTCCTCTATTTTATTCTAAGCATTAGTTGGTTTTGCTACCTCATCTCTTTACTATACTACTTCTATTTTCTTGTTTGATGCTTTATTTGGCTATTTGGTCAGAAAGTTTCAAAACCGTTGTTTGTCGTTATCCAGGGAACGTATCCACTTTCAACTGATTCCATTGCCAGTTGACACGAATCACAAAAACATTTTTCACAATACATGGGGGTGAAAATTTAAAAGAAAATTATTAATAGTAGGAAAAAAAAACCCAATAAGGGTGCCCACAAAGAACAAGGAAAAACAAAAAAAAGGAAAAGGAAAAACAAAAGTTTAAACCTTACACCACACCCCCACCTCAAAACATGGCCAAGGCAAAGATGGCAACCACCCTTCTTTGTCTATGGGGACGGGAGGAGAAAAGAGTTCACAGCAGCTG